ACTTAAATAGTAAAGATAGTGACAAAATGAACTGAACATTAAGGAATGAGCTTTGGAGTGTAAACCCATATGTTGGAATTAAGAGACAGAAGAGGAGCTAGCAAAGAAGAAGAAAAAAAATGGTAACAGAGGTAAGAGAACTATTACAGTATAGGAGAAGCCAAAGGAAGAATAAGTTTCTAGAAGGGAGATAAACATTAGTGTCAAATGATTCTAAGAGGGTAGTGGGTCTCATGGTGAAGCAAAAGGTACATTGATTTTGGAATCAGAATACCTGGCTCTGGTCTCCAGTTTCCTCATCTGTAAAATGATCAGTAGTTCTCAAAGTATAGTCTGGAGACTTCTGGGAATCGCTGAAATTCTTTCAGGGGGTCCACAAGGTTAAGACTTTTCATAATAATGCTAATATTTCTAATATGGTAAATATCAACTGATATGACCCACATAAACCAGGACCAAAAAATTTGAGAACCTAGACTGGATGGTGATTAAGGTATTTTGTGTATTTTGTAATCACAGTATAAGAACAAAGGACAGAGAGCAGAAATTAGTCTGAAATGTACTGCATAGATTGGAGATAAGGGGGCAGTTTTTTTGTTTTGTTGTTTTTTTTTTATTATATGGATGTAGAAGGATGAGAATTGTCAAATTATTTTTAAAAAATTGGAATTATTATAAAATGTGTTGTAGCTTTTTTCTCCCTTAAGATGTTCATATCACTCTGTTTTCCTCATAGGTGCTTTGATGAATTGGATAGCTGTTGAGCTTGCTAGCAACCATTCTGCACTAGAATGTTGAGGTCCTTGCCAGCAGATTTAGTTATGGTTGAAGTATAACAGCACTACAGAAGGACAGAGGCTTGGAGACACAACTGTTTTATAATCTGATTTTCAGCAATTCAGCAAACATAGATTCTTTGTCTTCTATCTTGTACCATACTTAACTTGTAACTCTTTAGAGAATCAACCCCTCGAACACTGGGCCAGGTTTTGGCTTTCTATTACCAGCATAAAACACAGTGAAGATAAATGCTTAACATTCATCAAATTGAATTACCATGTGGTTGAACTCTTGATCCTAGCCCTGTGTGGAAGGCTGGTCAATATTGAGTTTTGCACTGTAGTGAAACTTTGAATATAGATTATTTCAGAATTTCAGATTCTTTATCTTCTCCCCTCACAAGATCTATTCGAAGTATCCATTTTATTTTTTTTTTTTGCAGTTAAAATGTACACCACTCTTTTATCAAAGGAAAATTACTGTTAGTGACACACAAACGATATTACCAACCTACCTTTTCCTTTTCCCCTCTCTATTGACTGATCAGCAAATTTTAAATTATTTTCTGCACTACTTGCCTTTTGTAAAAACAAATGACAGTTCATTTGGTTTCTTTGTCATTTTTGTTTTGTTGGATCCAGTTAACTTAGCTTGAGTTTAACAAAAATATTCTATCCTGTTTGTTTCCTTTCCTTCACTTTTTTATGAGAGGACACTAATAAAAAAAATTCCCTCCTTGAGTATTTTTGCAGTTTCCTCTGAAAAATTTCAAACCTTTTTGCTTTAAAAATCACTTTCCTTTTTAAAAGAGAAGTTAAGTATTAATATTTTATGAACACTGCCCATCTTAATTTCATGTAAATGGTAGTGAATGCTTTCCTTTAGAAAAGGAAAGCACATTTTTTAAATGGGGCACAGATTGATAAAACAAAGAATCTAACTCTTATTGGTAAATGGAGAGGAAAAAATGCTGTAGTAGTGGCTATTTTTTGAAGCAAAATAATATTGTTCTTAAATACTATACTGAATTTTTTTCTCATGGCTCCAGATAACCATTTAATCATGGGTGGTGCTGGCAGAGACCTGAGAGATCATCTAGTCTAAGTCTCTCTTTCTATAGATGAGGAAGATAAAAGGTGAGATTCCAACAGCAGCAGGGCAAGTGCTAAGATGTCCAGGATTGTTTCAAAGAATGGATGTGAATTATAGAGTGTCTGTGGTTAGTTGTATACAGCTCAAGCAAATTTACACTTATAGACTAGTTGAATGGATTAACTCTCTCAAGGACAGAGGAAGTTCTGGAAGTCCAGGTGTGAAGGAGTAGGATAGCAGTAGCAAAGTAGAGAGCAGTATGGCCTGAATAGATGTTTTGTACTAAGATTAAAAAGATGAATTCCTTGGGGGCAACTAGGTGGTACAGTGGATAGAGAGCCCCCACCTAGAGTCAGAGTTCAAATCTGGCGGCAGACACTTAATAGCTGTGTGACCCTGGGCAAGTCACTTAACCCTGTTTCCTCATCTGTAAAATGAGGAGATAACAAACCACCCCAGTGTCTTTGCCAAGAAAACCTCAAATGGGATTGTGAAGAGTCAGACACCCCTGAACAACAACAAAATGAATTCTTAAGCTGACTCAATCTCCCTTTACGGTCTTTTACACAGTATTCTCCTTTAAGCCCTCCAATGGTCTAATCAAACTGGGCTCCTTAGTGTCCCTGATCTTATTCTACCTTAGCCTGTTTCTGTGACTTTGCTCATTCCATTCTTCATGCTTGGACTGAACTGGACTTTTTTTTCTCACCACTTCTCAGATCTCTGCCTGTTGAAATGTGTCCCCCTTTTCAAAACACAACTCATATGCTACTTTGTCTGTGATGTGATTAGGAAAACCAGGAGATTGTAGTATTTTAAAAGTGAAGGGAGGCTGGTATATCCAGAAGGAGGGAGGATTACCTGCAGAGAAGTCAGGGAAAATGAGAAATAGGAAAGAGTGCTGGGAGTAAAAACCAGATTGCAAGTGATAAAGAAGTAAGGCATCACATTTAGACAACATTTTCAGAAGTTCAGTGAAAAGGAAAGAAATGAGACAGTAGTTTGATGGAAGGCTTGAGAGAAATGTTTCCTTGTTTATGGATTGGGGACACCGGAGAATGTTTGTAGCAAATGGCAAAGAGCCAATGGAAGGGGAGGAATTGAAGATGCATGTTAGAGAGGAGAGTAAGAACTGAGTAACTGAAGAAAAATCCTGGAGAAGTGAAGTTAGGAGGGAGTGGAATCTAACGTTCAGATAGGAATTAGGACTTGCAAATCTGAAGATGCTGAAGGCATATTTAACAAACTTACAGACAACAGTTAGGAAGTGTTAGGTAGTATGACAGAAATGGCAAACTTGTAGAATCTTTTTTTGGAGGGTAATCTAAACCACATAGTAAAAGTTTACAGAAGTAGTTATACCTTCAGTGCCAGGAAGATGTGAGATGAGGAGACAAGGAAGTTCAGGGGAAATAGCATCTGTTTCTTGAAAAAGTCCAAGTTGAGGTGCTCAGTTGAAAGGATGAAGAGAGTGAGTGCAGTGGAAGGCTTCTAGAGAGAAGACAAGATTTGAAATAGCTTCCGTGGTAAGTTGGATATAGATTAAATTAGAGTAAATTGATTGTGTAGCTGCAGTAAATTGATATTAGAGAATTTAAATCTGTAGCAAACTCAGTCATCATATGTTCCACAGCATGTGAATAGGAACAAAGGAGGCAGAAAGTGGTGGGCATAATTTAGGGTTTGGTAAAGCATGAGCATATAATAGGACATGGGAGCAAGAGATTCCTGTGTAGAGGATAGTATAGAGTTGAACTGGTTCATTGAAGATTCACAAAATTTCGCTAAGAAGACTTTTGATAAGAGTTGCATAGCTGAGGCTTAAAGGGAAGCTAGGGATTCTAAGAGATGGAGGTGAAAAGGGTGTACATTCAAGGCATTGGGGGATATAGCCTGTGCAAAGGTAGGAAATGGAATGCTGAGTTTGGGAAACAGTAAGTAGGCCGGTGTTCTGTAATATAGAATGTGTAAGGGAGGACAGTGTACAAAAAGCCTGGAAAGATGGGCTGTAGCTAGATTGTGGAAGGGTTTTAAATGTCAAACTGAGTGACAGATTAAAGAGCCACGGAATATTCTGGAGCATAGCAGTGACATAGCCAAACTTAAGCTTTTGGAAGATTTTTTTTTTTGGCAGATGAAGTCCGAACAGGTACTATTTATGCTGGTCTTTTTGTTCCTCATGTTTGATTTTTGCCTTATATGGTGCTTACCACATAGTACTTAATAAATGTCTGTTGATTGTTTGATTGAAGGGGCACTATGCTTAGAGTCAAAAGGCCTGATGAATTCAAATGACACTTGGCATGTAACCTTAGCAATAGTGTCATAGAGTCATAGATTTAGTGAGAGGGGATTTTAGAAATCTAGTCTAACCCCTTCATTTAATAGATGAAACTGACTCCAAGAGAGATTGTGAGTTAAGTCACTAAACATCTCTAAGCCTTAAGTTTCCTCATTTGTAAAATAGGGATAATGCTTATGTAGCATACCTCATACTGTTTTTTCTTATTTACGAACACGTATAATTGAGTAAAACAAATCCCTGCACTAGTCATGCCCCCCCATATACATGTATATGTGTGTGCATACATAATGCGTGCATGCACACACATGTGTGTGTGTATGCCTTACTCTGCACTCTTGAATTTTCTGTCTGGATGTTCATTGTGTTGATCAGAGTTACTAAGTCTTTTAAAATTCTTTGTCTTTACAGTATTGTTGTTATTGTATAAATTGTTGTCCTGGTTCTGCTTTCTTCACTTTGTATTAATTCATACAGACCCTGCCTAGTTTCTCGGAAACCATCCCCTTCATCATTTCTTACAGAACAGTAGTATTCCATCACATTCATATGCTGTAATTTGTTCAGCCATTACTCAGTTTCCAGTTCTTGGCCATCATGAAAAGAGCTGCTGTAAACATACATACATACATACATACATACATGTATATGTACATGTAGGTCTTTTCTTTCTTTGATCTGTCTGCGGTATAGATCTAATGAGCTGTATGTATTGCTGGGTCACAGGGTGTGCACAGTTTAGAGAAATTAGATATTAATTAAATGATGTTAATAACTGTTGATTTAAATTTAGTTTGTTGGCTAATTGTAATTTTTAAAATTCTAGAATGTATGACAACATGTCCACAATGGTGTACCTAAAGGAAGACAAATTGGAGAAGCTTACCCAGGATGAAATTATTTCTAAGACAAAGCAAGTGATTCAGGGACTGGAAGCTCTGAAGAATGAACACAATTCTATCTTGCAAAGTTTACTTGAGACGCTTAAGTGTTTGAAGAAAGATGATGAGAGCAATCTGGTGGAAGAGAAATCGAACATGATTCGCAAGTCACTGGAAATGTTGGAACTTGGGCTGAGTGAGGCACAGGTAGATTGGGAAATGACTTTGAGCTTTATCTAGATGGAAAAATGGAGAGGTACTAACATTTGAAATTGTAAGGGGAAATATGCTTGATATTGATGTTTAAAAAAAGACCGTTGTTAGAATTGACATTGATATAAAAAAGGGAAGACAATTGTAAGAACTTCACATTAAATGAATTGTATAAATTGAGATGTAGATTTGGGGGAGCTTGTTGGATTAAAACTAAGAGGCTCAGTCTTGGACTGCTGACTTATGTATATATTAACATAGATCTACAATATAGAGATGGGTTTTAGAATTATTGACTTACCTCTTTCTTTTTGAATTTGAAGTCTTCCCCAAAATAAGATACAACTAAATGAAATAGGTAGTAAAACAGTTTGGCTTTCTTTTGGCCATTTATTTCTTTTGTTGATTTACCAGTTGGCATAAAAAAAGAGCTGTAACCGATTTATGTTCAGAGAAGACTTTATTTAGTATCAGAAGTGACTATGCTTACTCCAATTTTAGACTTTTTTTTCTATTCATGTTATGAGTTTTTAATGTAGGGTTTTCGGTGGTCACTTTGCCAGTCTTTTTTTTTCTTTCCATATTTTATTAATGGGGAGAAAGTTTAAAACTTCGTATAATTTTGGGATACATTATTATGAACCATAACTCTAGTTACATGCTTCATTTATATGTCAGGAGGATGGATAACTACGTATACATATTGGAGGAATTAAAATCAAAGAAATATTCAAACTTAGCAAATTTTTCTGAATTCTTAGCTTAAGAATTCAGTAGAAAATTAGGAAGGTGATGAATGTTATAAGGCAGGATTTAAGTTTTTTCTCTGTGTCCTAGGTAATGATGGCTTTGTCAAACCATCTGAATGCAGTTGAATCAGAGAAACAGAAATTGCGTGCCCAAGTACGCCGCCTGTGCCAGGAAAATCAGTGGCTGCGGGATGAGTTAGCTAACACACAGCAGAAGCTACAGAAAAGTGAGCAGTCTGTGGCTCAGCTGGAGGAAGAAAAGAAGCACCTGGAATTCATGAATCAGTTAAAAAAGTATGATGACGACATTTCTCCATCAGTAAGTAGCTGCTTATTAAAGTCAGTTCATGTCCATCAGATAACTTAGAAGCTTTCAGTTCGAAGGTATTATGAAGCTGTATGTTTCCTTTTCTGTAAATACTCTTTTCAGTGTGATGTTACAGAAGAAGCTGTTACTATCTTTGTGCTTTTGGAAAAATCTGTGACTTTCTGTGCCTTAATTACATTTTCTGTTAAATGTATATAGTTGTTCTTACCTTTCACGTGTGTTATGATCAAATGAGATCATGATTGTCAAAAGTATTTTAAAAATACAAAACATTAAAATGGCAGTATTTTATTTGTTGTTTCTACAAATAATAAGTTTTAGATGGGAACTTAGAACTCCTAGAGATTTCTGGTTCAGAAGGGATTATGTAGCCTGGAACTTCAGAGTATTCATTTAAATAAATATTTGTTAAGTGCCTACATTGTGTTAGGGATGCAAAGATGAAAAACCATATATTCCTCAAAGAGCTTACTTTACTTTTACTTTAATAAAGGAGATAATACCCATATATACAAATAAATATGATAGAAACTATAGTGTAATAAGGTCAAAGGAGGGATCAAAACAGAACCATAAGAATATTTGAGGAGCTAGAGATTACTTTTTGGAGTTAAAAAAAAGTCTTCCTGGATGAGATGGCACTTGACCTGGGTTTTGAAGGAAGAGAAGGGATCAGAAATGTAGAGAGAGTGTAGTCTGGGTAGAGGAAATGGGCTTTTTAACTGTAGAAAAAAGGAAGAAGGCTGGATGCGATCAGACTATATAGCATGTAGTTCAATTTGGCAGGAATGTAGACTGCCTAAAGTAGGGTAGAATGAATTGAAGTTGGAAAGATAGGTTGGAGCCCAGATTATTGAAGGTCCTAAAAGCCAGGTTAAGGGGCTTGTATTTTCTTACTGTAGGCAATGAAGAGCCATTGATGATTTTTTTTTTTTGAAGCAAGGCAATGATATGGTCAGGTCTTTGCATTAAGGTTAATTTGGCAACTATGTGAAGGATGGATTAGGGGAGAGAGAAACTTCGGGCCAGAAAATCAGTTTAAGAGGTGATTACATAAATCTAGATGAAAGGTGATGATGATGATGATGATGATGATGAGGGCTTGAACTTCATTAGTGGCTGTCTAAGTGGAGAAGAGGGGAATTAGATACAAATGATTTTGTGGACATAGAATGACAGGACTTGGCAATAGTTTTCCTTATGTTAAACCATCCCTGCATTCCTGACATAAATCCTACTTCACTGCATAATATTTGTGATATATTGTTGAGTTTCCTGGCTAGTTTTTTATTTAGGCTTTTTGCATCCATATTCATTAGTGAAATAGATCTGTGATTTTCTTTCTCTGTTTTTGCTCTTCCAGATTTTAGGTATCAGCACCACATTTGTTTCATAAAAGGAGTTTGGTAGGACTCCTTTGCCCATTACTTCAAGTAATTTATTTAATGTTGGAATTAGTTGATTTTTAAATGTTTGGTAGAATTCACTTTTAAATCTACGTGGGCTTGATGCTTTTTTCTCAGAGAGCTCGTTTATGTAGCTGGTTCAATTTCTTTTTCTAAAATAGGTTTACTTAGATATTCTGTTTCCTCTTATTAACATAAGATTATTAACATAATCTAGACAGTTTATATTTTTGTAAGCATTCTTCTATTTCACTTAAATTCTTGAATTTATTGACATATAATTGGGCAAAATAAGTCCTAATGATTGCTTCAATTTCATCTTAATGAGTGGTATATTCACCATTTTCATTTTTGATGCTAGTAATTTGTTTTTCTTCTCTTTTTTAAAAATTAGTTATATCAACCACTGGTATTTTATTGTTTTTTTCCATAAAACTAACCCTTAGTTTTATTTATTAATTCAATGGTTTTCTTACATTGAATTTTATTAATCTTGCCATAAATTTTTAGGCTTTCCAATGTGGTGTTTAATTGAAGATTTTTATTGTTCTTTTTCTGGTTTTTTAAATTGCATACTCAGTTCGTTGGTCTGCTCTTTCTCTATTTTATTGATGTAAGCATTTAGAGATATAAATTTTCCTCCAATTACTGCTTTTGCTGCACATTCTATAGGTTTTGGTATGTTGTCTTATTATTGGAATTAGTAGTTTTAAAAAGTTTGTTCAGCAACATCGTTGCTTGCTCTGGAAAAGAGCAGTTGTCAAGATTATTGCATAGTGAAGGAGCCATGTAGTATGATGGCTGTAAGGCTCATACCTTTCAAATAAGAAGTCATTAAAAATGAACCTTTGGAGACTTAGGATTGAAAACTAGTTATGAGTCTTCCATTATTCAGAATACCTGGAGTAATTGCAGGGATTTGTACAAGGACATCCCTTTCTTCCATAGCCCATCATGGCTGTTCCCATTTGATAACTCGTGCTTTTTCTAACTGCTGTGGCTGCTCTTGGTGCCAGCATTTAAAGCTGCAATTCTTTTTTTAAAAAATTTTATTATTTTTAATTTATTTATTTTTAGTTTTTAACATTCACTTCCGTAGGCTTTTACATTTTAAATTTTCTCCCCTCCCCAAGACAGCATGTAATCTGTCCATATACATTCAGATTTAAACATTTTCACATTAGTCATGTTGTAAAGTATTAGAACCAATGGGAGGAACCATGAGAAAGAAGAAACAAAACAAAAGAACAACAACAAAAAAGAGAGCAAGTAGTATTCTTTCGTCTGCATTCAGACTCCAGAGTTCTTTCTCTGGCTGTGGATAGCATTTTTTCATCACAAGTCTTTTGGAGTTGTCTTAGATCATTGCATTGCTGAAAGAGCCAAGTTTATCCAAGTTAGTCATCACACAACCTGGCTATAACTGTGTACAACATTCTCCTGGTTCTGCTCACTTCATTCAGCCTCAGTCCATATAAGTCTTTCCAGGTTTTTCTGAAGTCTGCTTGCTCACCATGTCTTATGGAACAGTAGTATTCCATTATATTCATTTACCACGACTTGTTCAGCCATTCCCCAATTGATAGGTAGCCCCTCAATTTCCGATTCTTTGCCATCACAAAAAGAACTGCTATAAATATTTTTGTACATGTGGGTCCTTTTTTCTCATTTGTATGATCTCTTTGGGATACAGTAGTATTGCTGGGTCAAAGGGTATGTACATTTTTATAGCTCTTTGGGCATAGTTCCAAATTGCTTTCCAGAATGGTTGGATCAGTTCACAACCTACCAATGCTGCATTAGTGTTCCAATTTTCCCATATCTTCTCCAACATTTATCATTTTCCTGTTTTGTCGTGTTAGCCAGTCTGATAGGTGTGATGTGGTCCCTCAGAGCTGTTTTGATTTGCATTTCTCTAATCAATAGTGATTTAGAGCATTTTTTCATATGACTATAGATAGCTTTAATTTTTTCCTTTGAAAACTGCCTGTTCATGTCCTTTGACCATTTGTCAGTTGGGGAATGACTTATATTCTTATAAATTTGACTCTGTTCTCTGTATATTTTAGATATGAGGCCTTTATCAGAGATAGTGGTTGTAAAAATTCATTCCCAGTTTTCTGCTTCCCTTGTAATCTTGGTTGCATTGGCTTTGTTTGTTTAAAAACCTTTCAATTTAATATAATCAAGATTATCCATTTTGCATTTCATAATATTCTCTGTCTCTTGTTTGGTCATAAATTCTTCCCTTCTTCATAAATCTGACAGGTAAACTATTTCTTTCTCTCCTAGTTTGCTTATAGTATTCAGCTAAAGCTGCAGTTCTAAGAACATCAGCATTGATATCCATAATGTTATCAGAACTTGTAGTGGGTTTTCCAGTGAGCTCATTTTGGCTGCTAGCTTTTCATATGAGTCTCCCTCAGAGCTTTGTACTCTTTGAAGTACAACTTCTGCACTCCCTCTTTAATAGGTCACTCTTTTGAAATGCAGTCCTCCCCTGCTCACTTTTTTTTCTCAGTTCCCCATGTCATTCTGGGTATTGGTATTACTTTCAGACTCAAGGACAACTTTTATGTCCCTCCTAAATAATGTCCCTCCTAAATATTTTGATTCTAAAGGCCTCTCGCTGCAAATGGTGATATCAGCAAGAAGTTGAAAGCAGATTTCATAAAATCATAGAATTTTAGGTTGAAGGGGAGCTTAGAGATAATCTAGTTTAGTTTAATTTAGTTTACAGATGAGAGGACTAAAGCTAAAAGAGGTTAAGAGACAAGATAGCACAGCCAGACTAATAGTTGGAAGGGACTTCATATATTATCTAGTCTAATCCATACACAAACAAGAGTTCTTTCTGTAATTTCTCTGACAAGTGATCAGTATCCCCCTGGGCAGGCTATTCTACTTTTCAGCGATTTTGATTGTTAAATTTTGCCTTAGATTTTGAGGCAAAGTCTTTTTCTTTTTTAACTTCAACCTGTTGCTTCTAGTTCTGCCGTCTCAGTTGGAGCATGACAAATCTAATTCTTCTTCCTTTGAAGAGATAATCTTTCAAATATTTGAAGATTGCTGTTAAGTCCTACCCAGTCTTCTGTTACCCCAGTTACTTAAGCTTACCCCAGTTACTTAAGCATTTCCATTTTCTTTAGCTGAAGACTGCCTGTATGATATGCTTTCTAGTTCCCTCACCATTGCTTTCTTGGATTTGTCAGTAACCTTTCCACAATGTGACACCCAGAACTGATATGGTATACAAGGTCAGGAAATAGTTCTGGACAATATAGTTTCATTAATACAGCCTTTAGCCTTTTGGTTGCTCTGTCATACTGTTGAGTCATTCAATTTGCACTCTCCTAAAATCTCAGTATCTTTTCCCACATATCCTGTTGCCTAGCCACCTTAGCCTTATTCTGATCTTGTGTAATTTAAAAAAAAATCTAAGTGAAGAACTAAATATTTATCACTGTTAAGTTTAACTTTACTAGATTTTGGCCATTTTTCTAGCTTAAGAGCTTTAATAACATGTTGTAGGACCAATTTATACAAATGTGGCACATTCCACTAGAGAACTTTCTCCAGGTTGACATGGATCCATTTATTATCATCCTTTAAGGTCATTTGTTCAACTAGCTAGTTAATGGTAGAACTGAAATTAGAACCTATGTCTCCTTGGTGTTTTATTTACTACACCATGCTGCTGAATAAACCACAGTGTAGAAAATGGATTATTTAATCTTTAACAAAACCTTTTATTAAAATGTATGTTATGTCAAATGCTTTAATAAGGAATTTATATAGCACTTAAGGTTTGTGCTTTGGGGATTTTTTTTTGTAGGAGGACAAAGACAATGATTCTACCAAAGAACCTCTGGATGACCTTTTCCCCAATGATGAAGATGACCCAGGTCAAGGAAGTAAGTGAAAAGTTGTGTCCTGAAATAAAATGAGAAGCGTATTTGTCCTATGTGGTGTATAATTGTAATTTCTAGTATAATATAGGAGATGTAGTAAATGTAGCCTGCAAAACAAAGTACAAATTCTTTAGCATTTATAATGTTAGTGTTTCTCATTCATTTATAATGTGTTCCTTGTGTTATGATAAAGCCTTATTAATTTAGACCCTGGTAATATAGAACTTGCAATAACAATTGAGTCATAGTAGTATTTGTTATTGAATAAAAAGCTCAGCCTTTTTTTTTCTCTCAAGGAGTTTTTGGAGTCATACTGATGAGAATTTATTGTTATTAGTGGATTTTTTCCAAATTAGAGGCTCAAGAATATAAGGTTTCCTTTGGTTGACTTGAACTTTTCAGTTCATTTGTCATTATGTTAAATTACTTTTTTTGTTTATTGATGTTATTATGCAATTCTGGGCTGTTGTGAATTATGATTTTAAAATTAATTTAATCTTCATAATCTTCATAGGGTTTTTTTTACCTAGTTTATAAAACATTTGGTGTTTGAAAGTAACAAATTGACTTTTTTAGAAGTTATATAACCATTCATTGTTAGATTGGCTTTCTTTATTGTTACAAAAAAAATAAGGGTTATTGTATTCTGAAAGAATATATCAGTTTTTTGTTTTTGGTTTTAGTTTGTTTTAGCTTAAAGCAGGGCTTAAAACGTAAAAAAGAGAGAATATGGCTTTTAATTTTAAAATTATCAAAGAAATTTTGTTGCTAGTATTTGTAGGGTCATAGGATATAAGTGATCTTTGAGGTCATCTAGTCTCGCCCCCTCGTTTTGGGTATTAAACAAATTACTCCATCATAAGGTTGTGGCAGAAATAGCCGGTAAGTTTTGTTGCTTAAGATGACTGTGTTGCATCATATAAACCAAGTAATATTTACTTACATTTTTCACCTCACATGGACATAGTCTTTTTTAGAATTATATCTATATGTATGAATAAATAGCATTCTTTTCAGGGCTGTTTCAGCATTTGTTAATTTGCCTTTCTTATCTTGACTTTGTATATGGGAAACTAGCTCTTTTTTTTCTTTCTTTTTTTTTTTAAGTGAGGCAATTGTAGTTAAGTGACTTGCCCAGGGTCACACAACTAGTACATGTCAAGTGTTTGGTTTGAGGTCGGATTTGAAATCAGGTCCTCCTGACTTCGGGGCCGGTGCTGTATCCACTGCGCCACCTAGCTGCCCCAAAACTAGCTCTTTTTAACCATGGTATGCAAAATTTTGGTTTGTCAGAGTGATATTATAAATAAGTGCTATTTCTCCCATACCTTTTGTAAAATCAACGTGACTTTCCATACTAAAGGTATAATTATTCATTGATATTAAAATACACCACTGATTAGGCAGGCCTTGAAGCTGTTGTCCCATTTCCTGTGTTTAGGGGACCCTGCAGGTCAGAGGCCTTAATCAAAAAGCTCTGCTGCAGGGATCCCAGTGGTCTCCATAATTAAACACCCTTGTTACCCAGTTTTTGTGATGGCTTAGTGGGGGACAAGACCTTAAAGCCACTGTTCTGTGAAGTTCTTTGTTGTAAGAGGTATAGTGGTAAGGGACTGCCCTACTTACTTAGATAAGCACAGGCCGTGGTCCCAAAGGCAAATTTCCTAGCATTATGAAGCAGGGCCACATCTTTGTGCTATGTGGCAGCTAGTTGTGAAGTAACAGCTCCTACAGTAAGTAGCTAAATAGGATAGATGTTTGGGAATTGACTGTATTTCTGTTTTGTCTCTGTTCTTAAAAATCATTTTGATACAGCCATGTAATTACAGCTTTTATATACATGCATGCATACATACATATACACACACATACAGGTGCACAAAAATATACGCACATTTTAGCCTAGACCTGTGATTTCTTTAATGCAGGGAACTCATTGTATGGAAACTTCTACCAAGTAGAATGTGGTTCATGAATTTACCTTTCACTTAGAAAGTTGCCTGGGGCACTAAGAGATTATATATGACTGGCCTGTGGTCACACAGCCATAAGTATGTGTCAGAGGCAGGACTTGGACTTGATCTTCCTGACTTACATTCTGCCCTCTTTTCATGGCCCCCATGCTGCCTCTCATATTTACTGCAAAGTAACAAATAGAAGAATTATAAATATAAGAAGAAAATACTGATTTTTATTGAATTTGCAGTAGATACTTAAATTATGTTTATACATGGTAATAGGATTCTTTTTAATTTTGTGTGATGGCTTAAGTTAATACAGGTTGTTTTTAGGGTACTGACTTTTAAAAAATCAACTGAACTGAATTTTGGGATAAGATTAAATGGTATAACAAACCAGATATTCTTAGCAAAACTACCTTTATTATGTTCATTGTGATAATTGTTTTCTTGATTAGAGTATGAATTTTTCTTTCATAATAAATTATAACTAAAATAATTTCTTTTGTAGTTCAACAGCAACATAGCAGTGCAGCTGCTGCTGCCCAGCAAGGGGGCTATGAAATTCCAGCACGGCTTAGAACTCTTCATAACCTTGTTATTCAGTATGCTTCCCAAGGTAGATATGAGGTTGCTGTACCATTGTGCAAACAAGCACTAGAAGATCTTGAGAAGACCTCTGGTCATGATCACCCTGATGTTGCCACCATGCTAAATATCTTGGCTCTGGTATACAGGTGAGTGTTTCTATGTCATCTGTGCCTTTGTTAGAAAAATTAAAGGAAAAACAAACTCTGAAGATACATATTTTTAAAAAAATATATTTTGTCTTGTCTTCTACTAATTTATGTTTTGGGTAATCTTTGTGCCTTGGAAACTGAACCTGGATTCAGAAAGAAGAATGCTCCTAGTGTCTTGCCCTCCATCTGAGTTAACTTATGGCAAAAAACCAAAACAAAATAAAACCCAAAATTAAGGCCTGCCCTTAGGTGAAGGAGAGAGGGATTAGAAATTACTCATAGCAGAATTTCTTCTCTTGGGTAGTCCATTTCAGTAAATTTATGCATTTCTATTATGTGCTCTGATATTTCTCTTTATTTGACTGGAATATTTCATAGAGACATATTTAATAAGTTAGGTTTTTAAAAATCAGTGGTAGATTCTTGTTCCAGTTTATCTTTTAAGAAGGTAAACAGTTCCTAAATTTAAAAGATAAAACAAGACAAAAGTCTACCGTTGATTTTAAAAACCTAACTTGCCAAGTATTTATTTCTGTGAAATAAGTTTTTTTCTCAAATATGAGAAATATCAGTGCAGATAAGTTTAAAGTGAAAAGTAGCAGAGAAATCCCCTTGGGTGTAGTCTTTGAGTAGGTTTTCTTTTAATTATGTAGGTAGGCTCAGCGATATTCACTGTGTTCCTTTATGACATTATATAGAAATAAGTCACAGTGGGTCTTGCACCCCGTTTACTGGTTACATCTCCTGTTACTTTTCATTAGTGATCTTTGATAGAGGAATGTGTTTAAGGTTGGCAATCAGTTCTAGTCATTGCCGATGAAACTGAAGCCATTGCAGTAACAATTCTGGGAACTTGGGTGATTTTACCAGGAGCAGTGAAGTCTATTTACCCAAGGAAACTTAGCACCTTCAACTGATATGAAAGATTGAGCTGCACATGCCTTATCTTCTGTGTCAGGACCTAATTTTATTGTTTATTGTTATTCTTGAAATCACCCCAACATATAGAGTCATTTGAGAAAATCTCAATGAGTTATAGAACTTAATGTCTGTTTTTAAATTTAGAGATCAGAATAAATACAAAGATGCAGCTAACTTACTAAATGACGCACTGGCTATCCGTGAAAAAACCTTGGGCAAAGATCATCCAGCGGTTTGTATATTTTTTTTTTCATCCTTTTGATGTGTTATTTTCTGTACTGTGCTTTACTCAACTCATTTTAATATTAAACTCAACAGGAAAGGGTTAAGACCTGTCTATTCATTAGGTGGTGAAGGTAGGAGCCCTCCTTCTACTGATTACCAATTACAAGTCCTAAGTATTCTTCACAATATTTGCCCTTCCAAGTGCACATGTAATCTATTTAAAGCAATGTATCACACAAAATGGGCCAGGTACTACATTTTTGATTCTAAATCAAACTGCATGTACTTGTGAAAAAAATTTCTAAAGTTGTATTTTTACTTTTTTCTTCCCCCCAAATCAGCTGGAAAGGCCCATGAATTTTTATGTTTTGGTTTGCTTTATTGCTTCTAGCAAAACATAATGTTGAGATCATGCTGTTCTTTATGATTTGTTTAATTGTGTCAATAATATGTTACTTTACATAATTTACACTACAGTGAGGCACTCTTATTGTACCTGAACTTATATGTGATATTTGTTCCATATTGGATATATTCCTTTGGTATATATAAAGCAGAAAATACCTTTATGATTTGATTAAATATTTATTTAAGGTAAAATTAAGAGTCCTCCACTGTACATTTAGGATATAATTGAATCTTAACTATATATGTCTTCACATAATAGTTTTGGTCAGTTTTATCGTGTTTAATGTTCATACTTTGACAGGTGGCAGCAACTCTGAATAATCTTGCAGTGCTTTATGGTAAAAGAGGGAAGTACAAAGAAGCTGAGCCTTTGTGTAAGAGAGCTCTGGAAATCAGAGAGAAGGTAGGAAAGACCAGAGCACGTTGTGATGTTCTAAGATTTGTATTCTTTTCTTGCAGTTTATTTTCAAATATTCACGAATCCCCAGGATGGTAATTGTATTTCATTACTGATTCTTCACTGGGAATAAATTGTGAAATTGACTGCCCTCAAAGCCTTGGGAGTGTATTCCAAATACTGGGTATGGGAGTGTGAGAATGGGGAACAGTTTGGGATAAGGTAGATGTTTAGGAACTATGAAGATGTAAGTCTTCAGGAGCTGGCTTTATTTCAGAAAAGATTTTAAAAAAGAAATTAATATTCAGAAGGGTTTGGGAGGTGGAAAGAATGATGCCATCTTCTTTAAGCGAGAAAAAGAACGACAATCAATAATGATACATTTCAAAATGTATTTATGCAATGTGGCATTAAGAAATTTGTTTCATGAAGAAATTTGATAGTAAAGTAATTATTTGCTCAAAGAGATTAGTTTAATATACCATCACTGTAACTTAAAAAAGTTTACTTCTAAAGGATTTGAATTGTAAACAGTTTCTGGGACAGAGAGTTCCAAAGGGTGGAAAAAAAATGTAGGAGTCGATATAATTTTATTTCTTTTTATTTCTCTCCATTTTATGTGTAGTTGGTATTGACATACATATTAAAGTGACTGGTGGTGTAAAATTGCATAGGCACATCTTATAGTGTCATTTAGTAGAATTACATAAAGTAGTCAAATATTGAGCGCTTTGGTGTTGAATTTTAAAATACAAATTGGGAAGAAATAAAGGTACAAAAATACTCAAATTGAAACTGAAATTTAAATGGCTGTCTGTCACAAAGGAATTTTTTTTCCTAATATGATATGTGTTTTTATTCTTAGGTTTTGGGAAAAGATCACCCAGATGTGGCCAAACAGTTAAATAACTTGGCCTTACTCTGCCAGAACCAGGGCAAGTATGAGGAGGTAGAATATTACTATCAAAGAGCCCTTGAGATCTACCAGACAAAACTGGGACCAGATGACCCAAATGTGGCCAAAACAAAAAATAATTTGGTATGTAGATGGAAATTACTTAGAGTATATCAGAGTTCCATTCAGTAATTTAACTTTTAGTTATATACATTAAGATATATTTCAGTTTTGCCTAAGGGATGCCTGTTATGTTTTGTTTTAAATAAAGGCATCCTGCTACCTGAAGCAAGGGAAATTCAAGCAGGCTGAAACACTATACAAGGAGATTCTCACTCGTGCACATGAGAGAGAGTTTGGCTCTGTAGATGGTAAGAAATTTAGTTAGATTTATAATGAAATACAATCGAGTTTGCTATTTTAAATAATTGTTTTAAAAATGAGTGGCAATTTCCACCAGTGATTTTGTGACATTCAAAAATATCACTAATGAGTTTCAGGGGGGAGTAAATAATTCTTAAAACAAGTTTAACTGGGATTATCTTTGATTTAATTAATATCTATATCTGTATCCATGTAGTTATATCTATCATATACCACATCAGAGACTACTAGTGTTTTCCTCTCATCTGTTCTCCACATCAGTGCTGTTAAACTCAAATAGAAATGGAGTCCACTAAATTCTGCATAAGGATTCCTGCAGGCCAAATATTTTCACACTGAGAAAACCACATATTAACATTATCTATGTTCTGTTGTATGTTTATTTTGTATGTTTAATTGGGTTTAATCGGACTGGGGAATGTTGCCATTGCCAGTAGAATTGACAGCCCTACATAGCACCAAAGGGATTTTTCTTTTTTTTTGTTTTTGTTTGTTTTTTTTATTTTGTTTTTTCAAAGGGATTTTTCTAAAGGACAGTTCTGACACTGCCATTCCTATACTGGGTGACTCCAATAGTTCCCATTGATTGCGGGATCAAATATTATTTCAGCTTTATCTTATCCTTTTTAAACTTCTATTTTTGTGTAAGTTATATACTGTACATAATTATTAGTACACTAATTGTCTATACATAATTTATAAATAGATAAATGCTCAAAAGTTTTATGATACAGGTAATACACATACGTATTAGAAGTACATGTGTAAATGTTTTTTTACCGATAGAAGTATATGATCAGAAAGTTTAGAATCTAGGTTACTTTTTCTCCTATGTCAATGACATGGTTCAGAGTCTTTCTTTCTACCTCAGTTGCTGACCTTATTTTGATTATTTTGCCTTTCCAATTACTTTCCTTTTTTTTGGACTACATTTCTTTCTTTTTTAAAAATTAATTTTGAACTTAAATACAAAAAGACAAAAAAAAGAACATTTCCATGTATGCAGCACAAGAATAGGATTCAATATACAATCACGAATGTCTGTTTTACACTGTTTACTTTTTTGAAAAACTATGTAATAAATACTATATCGTTTTCAAAGCTGCCCTGTTTTTCTGTGCTTCCAAGTTTTCTTTTGTTCTCTGCTATGTACTTTTTACTCAAATCAACCACAAAGTATGTGTGAAGGAAGCTACTGTCCACATCCAGTGAAAGAAATATTGAGAGATGTTGTAGAGGGAAAAGTGATATATTGGCATCTGGTGTGATATTGGGGGTGATTGAAAGGGAAGAGTCAAAGATAATGCCTAAGTGACTGATGACGAAAAGGATGGTGACAACATTGAAAGAAATAGAGAAATTTTAAAGAGGAGTAGATGGGGAGGGAACCTATAGACATAATGACTTGGAGAAATCAGCAGAATATATCTAGGAGGAGATGTTCATAAGGAGCTCGGAAATTTGGAACTGGAATTCAAGGGAGAAAAGCAGAACGGATATAAAGATTTATCATGTAAAGGTGGCATCTGGGCTGTGTTTTGAAGGAAGCTAAAGAGTCTATGATCCAGAGATGAGGAGGGAGTAAATTTCATACATGGAGGACTCCCTGTGCAAATGCAGTGGCAGGAGATGGAACATCATAATGTTTGAAGAATAGCAAACAGTTGCATTTAACTGGAATGAAGAGGGCGTGAAAGGGGTAGAATATAAAGTAAGACAGGAAGGGTAAGGGGGAGCCAGGTTGTGGAAGGCCTTAAATGTCAGACTTAGGGTTTGGCATTTTATCCTAAAGGCAGTAGTGGGGAGCTCTTAAAAATTTTAAGTCAGATCTGTGTTTGAGAGATATCAAAGCAGGGCAGCCATTTAGGAGGTTATTGCAACAGTTCAGGCAAGAATTTGGGTCCCATTTACATGTAGCACTAGCTTCGTAGTTATATGCAAAGATGGTGGAGGATGAAGCACATACAAAAGATATCCCACACATGATGCGTTTAGTGCTGTTTTAAGCTATTATTCTGTTGTCTGATAATATCACGTGGGCAGTACAAAGCCTCTGTCTGAAGTCTCAGATTTTTGTGAGTTTTAATTGTTTTTGTTGAATCTCTTTAATTTATTTAGAAAACTTATATCATCCATAAATGAATAAAAATAAATTGAAGAAAAAAAATTCCAGGCTTGACTCAATGCTGGAAAAACTATATTGGAGAGATATATCAAGGGAACTGAATTAGAAAATAGAGAATATGGTTTTCATTCGTTTGTATATACAAAATTCACAATAATTGATCATGTTCTAGGGCATGAAGAAGCCATAGATACATTTAGAAAGGCTCCTTGTATTTCAAGAGAATGCTTTTGAAAATACTCTAATTGATCCCATTTTCTCCCTTAGACAGTGGACAGAGCTTTCCACTACAGAGGTAGCAGACTACGCTAGAGTTTATTTTTGGGGGGTTTTTTTGGCCATAATTTTGCCATCAAATAGCTAAATAATCTTGGGCATGTCATTTCTACTCTATAGGAATCCATTTTCTTTCTTTGTTTTTTAATATCCTTTTTTTAAAAACAGGTTTTTTTTTTGTTTTTACATCATCTTATATATGCCTCTCCACCCTCTCCCAGTGTACCAATAAAGAATTTTTAAAAAGAGGAAGGGGAAAAAAAATAGCCATTCAGAGCTAACCAACATACTGAAAAAGTCTAACATCATATGCAGTATTCTACACTTGTGGTCTTTTAGTTTTGCAAAGAAGTGAGCCTCCTATTTTCTAATCTATAAAGAGATTTAGAATTAGATCTAAAATCCCTTGCAGTTCTAAATCCTTGAATATGTCTGGGTGGAATTGGTGGTAGGAGTCTCTATATTTCCTTTACTATCTTTAAAATGTTTTCTCTGCATAAGTGAGTACACTAATGAAAATGATTAAATTTTTCTGTGATAGTTTAGAGTCCTATAGAAACTCAGATTCATCGTTCTGAATATCAAATTCAGCAAATCGGTCTTAAGTACTTATTGAGTCCAAAGTACTACACTAGGTGGAGATACACAGATGAAAAATGTCAGTCTCTGTTCTGAAGGGACTGTTTAATAGTGAGGATGATGGACATAATTACAACATGAAATAGAATGTGTTAAGGGAAGACTTCAGGAGGTGGAGCTGTAAAGGATGCATTCTAAGCTCTGAAATAGCTTGTGGGAATGAACAAAGGGGGAATAATACAGGGTAAGATGGGGTAATAGCTAGTACACTGGTTGTCTGTAATGTGTATGGCACAAAGAGGCAAATATAGTGAATTAAAAATAAGTTTAAGATGGCTTAAACACATGCATACTCACACACACACACACACACACACACACACACACACATATGTACAAGGTCCTTAGGGCAGCTAGATGGCACAGTGGAGAGAGAATTGTAGGTCTGGAGTCAGGAAGATCCATTTTCCTGATTTCAGATATGGTCTCAGACAGTTATTAGCTGTGTCACTTAACCCTGTTTGCCTCAGTTTCCTCATCTGTAAAATAAGCTGGAGAAGAATATGGTAAACTACTCCAGTATCTTAGCCAAGAAAACCCCAAATGGGGTCATGAAGAGTCAGACACAACCGAAAAACAACACAAGTCCTTAAATACATATTATCCTATTAAGAGCAATGGAGAACCATTTGAAGGTTTTTGAGGAGGAGACTCTATTAAGATTTTTTGGTGTTAATATGAAGGATAAATTGGGGAATGGAGATTAGAGTCAGGGAGGCTAGCCTGTTATAATAGTTAATGTGAGGAGTGAAGTTTTAAACGCACTTTTATCACTTATTCCTCACAACAGACACTTTGAGGTAAGTACTGTAGAGCTGTTACTATGCTCATTTTATGGATGAGGAAATTGAGGCTCTGAGATATCAAATAATTTGCCTGTGGTCTCATAGCATGTAGTAAGGCAGAATTTGAAAACCAGCTCTCTTCTTAATCTGCTGTTTTTTCACCGTATTGTCACACCTGTCTAAATGAGAGCCTGAATTACAAGGAATGGGAGCGCAGAGGAAGTGCTTGGTGTAAGAACTATTTTCACCCATTTGGATGCAGAAAATGAAGGCAAGGGAAGAGTCAAAGATAACACTGTGCTTGGTTGACTGGGAGGATGATAGTTATCCACAAAATATAGAAGTGGGAGGAAGGGCAAGTTTCTATAGGAGAAAGTGGTGAGTTCAACTTGGGGCACATGGGGCTTGACATAGTGGTGGAGTATCCAGATGGAAATATTTATTAGGCAGTTGAAAATATAGAACCGGAATTCAGGGAGGAGACTGATGCTAGATATAGTCAGGTAAATAAATGTATGGGTCATCACCATAAAGGAATTGAAGCCATTGCAAGTAGATGTGATTGCCATGGAAGAAAGGTGGAAGAGAGTCAAACACAGATATTGAGGGGGAGTGTCAGGGTCAGTGGCCTCTGTTGGTACTGGAGGAAGAAAGATGAATTACTGCAGGAAACAATTGTGTTTTGCAGTATTATATGTGGAATACTTTTAAGCCAGTGGGATGATTTTGTAGAGGGCTTAGGATGTGTGTGAAATGTTGTGATTTTTAAAAAATTGTTGATATGAGATAGTTCTCTTGTTTGTTTTCTTTTGGTTGTCTCCTGAAAGTAGACTATAGCCAGAAATTCTGTTTCATTGAGGATCTCGGTTATTCGGGTTTTGGTTTTTATTATACGTGCATTTAAATGTATTACTTGCATTTATCTCCCTAAGATTTAGTGTTTGAAGGAAAATCAACAGTTGGGCTTCTTTTCATTATTTTTGGATTTAACAGAATGTAAATATGACCACAGTGATGTCCTCAAATTATGACATTTAGTCATACATACTGGTGTTACAATGTAATATCAAAACTGGTGAAGATTAGTTGTTTAATATAGAAAATAAATACTCCAAAGCTTGTTAGCTATATTGTTTGGGTATGTCGTCGTGCAGCCAAATGATTTCTTAAATTATGTTGTTTGCCCCAGATACACTCTCAAGGTACATTTCTACTCTTAAAAGTAGTATGTACGTTGGGGGGTGGGGGTGGGGCAGGTGGTGTATGTGTGTTTAAATAATAGAATAGGAACAACATGGAAGCAGCGTATTTTAGTGGAGGAGTTCTTAACTTTTTTTACGTCATGAACCTCTTTTGGCATACTGGTGAAACCTATGGACACTTTTTCAGAATAATGTTGATTGCCTACACTCGTAATTGAAGGAAATACTAAATTATAGTTAGAAGTTAGTGAAAATAAAGACATTATTTTCCCCCATCCAAATTCATGGATCGTTTGAAGTCTATACACAGATCTCTGTCTGTGGATCCCACATTAAGTACCTCAGGCTTAGTGATAAAATTAGTGGATGTGGCATCTCAAAGAACTGGAGTGTCAATTCCAGCTCTGCCGTTTACTAACAGGGTGACCTTTAATTTCTCTGTGTTTCAGTTACACTAAATGAGGGGGTTTGATTAGTTGTCATCTGAAGTATATATATTTTTTTTTTTTCTTTTTTCTTTTCTTTTTTTTTTTTTTGGTGAGGCAGTTGGGGTTAAGTGAATTGCCCAGGATCACACAGCTAGTAAGTGTGAAGTGTCTGAGGTCACATTTGAACTCAGGTCCTCCTGACTTCAAGGCTGGAGCTCTATCCACTGTGCCACCCAGCTGTCCCCTGAAGTATATTTCTTTAAACATTTGATCCTCTCACTTTGAATTCTGATAAAAGCTAGCAGACTTTAGAATACCACCTTTTGTAATAAGAGTCATAGAGACCATAGAATCAATTAATCAACAAGAATTTATTAAGCACTTACTATGTGCCAGGTTCTGTGGCTACATTGACAAGTGAAATCATCTTTACCCTGAGTCTAAATCAATTGGGAGAGAATACACATATATAAATAAAGATATGCAAACTGTGTTCAAAATAAATAAGAGATAAATTTTGGAGTAGGAGGACCCTAGCTGCTGGGGGGATCAGAGAAAACTTCAAGTAGAAGGTGGTGCTTGTATAGAGGTTTGAAGGAAATAATGGATTCCCAAAGGCAGAAGTTAGTAGAAATAATTATGATTCTGATCACTTGTTTGGCAGAAGTTAGTAGAAATAATTATGATTCTGATCACTTGTTTAACTTCTGTATGTTTAGCAGCAAAACTTTTTACTAATTTCTATAGTCAGCCCCATTTTTCGCTTGCTGACCTTTGAAGAGTAGAATTGCTCCTCCTACCAGTTTCCATTTTTCTTTTTTCTCCCTACCTCTTAGGGGTGTTGTGAGAAAAATGCTTTGTAATAAACCTTAAAGTATTATATAAATGCGAGTAGTTATTTATGCCTTGCTGTCTGTTCCATTATAAGAAAAGAATACCTTTTGAAGTTGGTATCACATTATAAGAATGTTCTCTGTTGTTTTTAGTTAATGTCTAATTTTCCTCTCCCCCAGATGAAAATAAACCCATTTGGATGCATGCTGAGGAGAGAGAAGAATGCAAAGTAAGACTATAATATTTTTAGAGATTGTTCAAGATTTTCTTTGTGTGAGTTCAAGATTAATTGTTATATCATTTCTAATTTAGGGAAAACAAAAGGATGGGACATCTTTTGGGGAGTATGGTGGCTGGTACAAAGCTTGCAAAGTTGATAGGTATGTGTGTTTTACATTGGCATACAATTGAAGTTGTTGGAGATATTTCAGGCATTATACTTTCATTATTTCAAACTTTTCCTCAGCATTAAACTGGTGATTTGAAAGTCAAACAAACATTGATTGTCCACTATATACAAGGTATTAGGGATGCAAAAAAAGTTTGTTTTTTAGTGACTCAGTCCCTGCCTTTAAGAAACTTTTCATTTTACTGGAGGAATAATATATAATATAATATAATTATAATAATATAATATAATATAATATAATATAATATAATATAATATAATATAATATAATATAATATAATATAATATAATATAATAAATTTGTAGCTCCTCTAAGAATGTATTCCAGTACTCTGTGGGTCTCTTTCCACTTGAAAGTATAGGCCATTGCTTCCACTAATGAGTTTATTCTTAGTAGTCATTCAGAGTTCATCATTTAAAGCAAAGGCGTTTTATGAAATAGCATTGTAAACATTGTAGTGATGGCCATTTCAGCCCTAGCACTTTTGTGTGGTGACTTTAAAGCCTCTCCCTAATAAAGGCAAGTGCATGCTCTTTAGTGACAGCTAGCTTTGAGCCATTATACTTACCTAACAAAAAAGCAAAGCAAAGTGCCCCCAGCCCGAGATTGTCTTTCCTTTTAAACAACAGAGTTCTTAAAACTGTGTTATGAAGCCTGTTGGCTGTCTGATAATGTTTTTAAATGTATATAATAAAATATATAGTATTATAACAGACTTTATAAGAAATACGTTTATCAAAATATATTTTTAAAAAGATCAGTTTCATAGATCCCAGGTTAAAAACCCATTTTAACCCTTTGGACACTGAGATCATACTCTTTTATCTCAGACTATTGATTTAGGGTTAGAGATTTCCAAGGTCCGTGGCTTGGCATACAAATAAATGTATCTTAGAACAAAAGTTAAGCAAAAAAGGCAAGATCATTATTTTCCACATTCTTGGCCGGAAGTTTTCTTTTTTTATGTATATCAGTAACAAAACCCTCTAACTTTGGTGCTGTGTTTTGGATATATCCTTTGCAGTCACCCACAAGAATAATACAAGGCAGAAAATGAAGGGAGTCAAGAATAGACAGTACAAACTACTCTTAGGACGTTTGAAGAGGGAGAGAACACTCTTAGTTGAGGGAAAATTGCACAGTGGAGGTGGCACCTGCGCTGAGCTTTATAGGTAGATTACAGTACCTACAGATAAGGAAACTGAGTCCTAGGGAAATTAAGTGACTTGTTCTAGGTAGTAAATGGCAAAGCCAGGATTTGAAACTCATTCCTGTGTCTCCAAAGCTAGCATTTTTTCCATTGTACCATGCTGCATCCTAACAACTGAGAAAGTCAAGAATGAGGAGGGTGTGCATTTCAGGTGTGGGTATGGGAAACAGCATTTAAGAGTATGGGGCAATAGCTGGTAGCATAGCTTATGTGGGAAGAAGAATATATGAGATGTAATAACATGAAGTAATGCTAGAAAAGGTGTGTTGAAGCAAACTTGCAGAAGGACTTAAACATAGGTTAAAGACTTTATTTTTATCCTAGAGGCATACGTGAAGACTTTTGAACAGGAGAATAACATGAAATTAAATCTGTGCCTCAGGAAGATTATTTTGGCAGCTGTGGAAAAAGTGTATGAGAGAGATGAGAGACTGGAAGCAGGGAGAGGAGTTACCAGGGGTGGGGAACCTGTGGCCTCAAGGCTACATTTGGCCAGAAATTCTAGGTCCTCAGGTGTGGCCTTTTGACTGAGTCCAAGTTTTACAGAACAAATCCCTTTTATTAAGTGAACTTGTTCTGTGAAGTTTGGATTCAGAGGGCCTCACTTGAGGACCTAGGGGTTCTCCACTCCTGATTAGGCTATTGTAGTATTGCACAGGTGAGGGCTGTTTAGACCTGAAATAGGTTAGTGGAAATTTGAGTAGAGAAAGGGGAATGAGTGTGAGTGATGTGGAGATAGAATCTATAGGCCTTGGCAGTTGATAGGATATGGACAGGTGAGTGGAGAAAAAAGAATCAAAGTGACCCTTAGGCTTTAAATCTTAGAGACCAAGAGGAAGATGGTGGTATCATCAGCAGAAATAGAGGAATATGTCAGAGCAAAATTTAGGGGGGAAGTGATAAATTGGTTTAAGACATTGAGTTTAGAATGCTAGAGAGATATCCAGGTGGAGATGTTCAGCAGGCAGTTGGAGGTTCCATGATATTGGAGTTGAGGAGAGGTTAAGGAGAGATACAAAGTTTTTGGAGTCATCTGCATAGATGACCTCTGACACAGTGGATGAAAGGAAGAGAAGAAAATATACTGAGACAGTGTCTTGATGTATATACACACACTTAGGGGCAGGTGATGAGCCGTTATGGGAGACCAAGAAAGGCATATAGTCAGGGAAGAGGAGAACTAAGTGAGACTGCTGTTGCAGTGTATAGCGTTAAAAGTTTTAGAAACGTCGCGGAAGACGAGAACTGATAAAATATAATTGGGTTTAGCAAGTAAGACATAATTGACAACCTTCAGGAGTAGTTTAAGGACACTGTTGGGGTCAGAAGCCAGATTTCAAGGGATAGAGGAATGAATGGATGATAAAGAAGAAGCAGCAATGAGTATAATATACTCTTCATAGGAGTGTAGCAATGAAAGGAAGAAAGATGCATGGAACTTGATAGGATAACATAGTCAAGGGAAATTTGGTGGTGGTGGTAGTTGTTTTAATAAATCATAAATTTAATAAACCTGAGTAAAAAAAGGTGATTAAGTTCAACAATTTTCTTAATCGTGGTCAAATTTAAATAAATGTGCAAAGCAAGGAATAAAACTATTAGAAAACCCTAAATTTGTTACACTGTACATATCGACAGATTATAAGCAAAGAAAGAAAAAATCTATTTGCTCTATCACTTTTTTCTGAAGTTTTGTTATCTTTAGACTTATTCTTTTTTACATAGTTGTAATCAGTGTTTGTCTAGTGTTGGTTCTGTGTTTCTTGCTTTTTATCCCTTCATATATTTTTCCTTATTTCATTATATTCATGTTTATACTTTTTATGATGTCATATTTCATTACACTTGTCTCATTATTTAGCAATTACTGAACATAATAGCTTGTGCCAAAATTTTGCTATTATCAACAAAGTGACTATAATATTTTTATGTAGATTAGTTTTTTTTCCCTTTTCAAGATATCTTTAAAGGCTTAGCAATAGAATTGCTGGATCAAAGGGTACAATTAATTTTTTGACTTGCTGTAATTGTCTTAGTGCTTCCTCAAAAATTTGTACCAAGTACAGATCTAGCAAGTAAAAGGGTTCCTAGTTATCTGCTGCTCTGTCAATATTGGATTTTTTTATTTTCTTATATTTTTGTTTGTTTATTGGCTGTAAAGTGGTGGTATCTTAACTTTGTCTTGATTTACATTTCTTTGATTTTTAATGAATTTGAACATCTTTCTATGTGGTTTAACTTTGTCTTTTCCAAATGGCCTATTCATGTTCTTTGGGGATTTCTTCTTACTCTTATTCGGGGAAGGTTTTTACTAGGATAGGGGAAATGAGCAGATTTGTAGGTAAGTGAGGAAGGAGTCATACAATTCGGAGAGATATCAGTCAAAAGCAGAAAGGGAATTCCAGAGAATGATTAAAGGGCCAGGATCCAAAGGAGATGGCAGGGGATGGGATCAAAGACACTAGTGGATGAGTTAGTCTTGGAAAGACCAGCTCATACTTTGAGGCAAAAAGAAGTGCAGACATGCAGAAGAGAAAGGGCCGGGTGAAAATGTGGAGCGTTTGTGAGGTGTGGAGGACAGGAGATGACGGTTCATGAAGAAAGTCTAGTTTTTTCAGTAAAGTAGGAGTCAAGGTAACTTATAGAAAGAGAAGATGGTTAGGTGGAGTTGAGAGCTTGAGGAGAGAGGAGAAGCTTAGGAATAGTTGATGTGGGAAATGGAGAATAAGAGGTGCATTAGAAATGTTTGCTCTCTAATAGTGAGGCTCAGTTGAATTTAGATAACATGAATTTGTGGTATATTCAGGTGGCATAGTTTTGTGACTTTATCTGGAAGCATTCAGCAGCTTGAAAGTAGGAGCAGAGAAGACAGATAGTAATAAGCTTGACCCAGATTTGAAAAGTAATAGAACTTTAATAGTGGAAATATTAGGAAGAAAGGATGGAGAATAATGCCTTATTGAACTGGTTACCTATTAGGGTTAAGACAGATATGAATAGAAAATGAAATAGATAACGAAGCCATCATAACAGTAATAAACTAGGAGAAAGAGAGATTGAAGGATCTGCCATTTCTGTGGAGAGGTGGCGATGGAAAACGGTTTTTGCCTTAGCTGGCAGTGGTTCTGATTTACAAGTATTAGGAAGGCTAGGAATTCACTAGCCTTGGGGCAGAGTCCTGTGGAACAAATACCTCTTTGTCTCTCTGGGGAGGTTCTAAAGATTATGGTGATGAGAAAGGTGTAAGCTCCTTTTTTGGCAGGGATGATTTTTTTCTTAGTTACCTTGTAATGCCAGGTACTTAAACATTTGCTGTGATCCTCATCGGGTCCTGTGTCTTCTGAGTAGTTGCCTTCCCAATTGATGATTGTTTTTATCTACAGATAACAAAGTAATAGTGAGTACTGCTTCCTGGAATCACTCTGGATAAAGACAGTTTTGAACCCACAAACCATCATATTTCAGAAAGAGGCCCATTTTTCTCCAAATAATGAATCTAAAGAATTATCTGAAAGTCAGTCTGATAACCTTGAAAGGCAAGCCAGTGTTAAAAAGCATTGCACTTAAATTTACTTGTGACTTTTATTGAAGAAAAAAAAAGAAAATCTCCAAGAGGATAAATATCACAAGCATCAATAAATACATTCCTCTTGAAAAAATATACATAAGTTTAAATGGATGAGGTAAAGCATAACCTACTGTATATAGGCTCAAATGAATTTCTGCCTTTTTCCAGTCCAATTTATTAAGCGCCTACAATGTACATGACACTGTGTTAACCTCTGAAGATACAATTAATAAAAAGAAAGATAGACGTTGCCCTCCAGGAGCTTATATTCTAATAGGAGAGACAGCATACAAAAGGAGACAGGGATGGGAGGGGGAAGACCCACCTTGAGGACTTCTTGTTGTTTGGAGTTGAGACCAGGCTGAGCAACAGAGCAATAAAAGCGGAGTGGAGTGAGCTGAAAAGTCCCGTTCTGCCTTCTTTTGAAGGTGGGCATTAGGAGGAGTTTAATGTTCCACCCTTTAGCCCGAGGGGGGGGGGTTGTTAAGGAATTCAAGTACCTTATAAGTTGCATAGCATTTTTGTTTCATTTCCCCTAAGTTCTTTATAATGCCTTGAGTTAAAGCATAAGTCAATAAGACATATCTTCTGCCAGTGCCATTCACTCAAGTCCTACTTTGATGCTGCTTTGTGATATAGAAGGAAGTCTAGGTTCTTAGAGATTATCTCACTGGGGTATAGGCTCTGGCAAGTTATAGCAAGCCAGAACAGCTTTACTTCAGACCTTATGCTAGACTGTGTATCAGTGGCCTAAGGATCAACCTAGCTATGTTCAGAGAGGTTCATCACCTGTTTAGCCATAGAGTAATGGATTTTTTGGCACCAGCAATCTTCAAAAACCAATTTCTAAGTTTACAGAGGGAGTGTGAATTGTGTTGGTGGGGAGATGCTTTCAGCAGTTTCAAGCGTTGAAATTAGCTATGGTGACTGGGTATACACTTCCCTCTGGTTCCCTGTTTCCAGCTATTCTTTATCTCTTGTTCTTCTCTTCTGTTATAACCAAATTCCAACTAAACCCTTTTAAAGAGTCATTTATATTCATCACCTGCATTTCTTCACCTCCTTTTCCCTTTTCAGTTCTTTTTCATCTTGCTTCTAACCCAACCACTTTGACTGAATCTTCTCTCCTGAGTTACCGCTTTTTTTAAAGTGCTAGATGATGTCTTTTCTCAATCATCACCCAGCCTGACCTCTGTACAGCTTCACCCTACCAACTACCAATTTCTCCTGAATTCTCTCTCCTCCTCTTGCTTTGTGACACTGTTCTTTTCTGGTTCTCCTTATCTATGTAATAGCCCCTTCATTTCTTTTGCTGCTTTTTCTGTTAAGTAGAGGGGCTCTAACTCCTGTCTGTTCCTTCCTTCCTTCCTTCTGTCTCCCTGTCTCCTTTTCCCTTCTCCTACCTCTTCTTTTTCTTCCACCCTGTTCTTTACCTCTTCTCTCCTTTTCTATCTGTTCTACCTCTTTTTTACTTCTCCAATCCTACCTATCCTATTTCTCCCTCTTCCTTCTCTCCTCTTTCCCTTGATTTCTCTTTCCCTTTTCCTCTCCCTTTCATTTCATCAGCTTCTCATAGGTTAAATTATTGAATTGACTCTTAAATTGTATAACCAGTTCTAATTTCTTTCCTGAATGTCATTTTTGAATCCCTAGCTGCCTGCTGCATATCTCCACATGAATGTTCTCTTACTAATCAAAACTTACCATATCTAAAATGGAACTCATCTTTCCTTCTAAACTAACTCCTAATTACCCTTTCTTTTGAGAGAACCTCCATTCATGTTACTAAGGTTAGTGCTCAGTCATGCTTGACTCTTTAATCTCCTTCACATTGTATTCAGTTACCAAGTTTTAGTGGTTCTATCTCCTCATCATCTCTTATAGCCTTTCCTTTCTCTCCACTCACAGGACCACCATTCTAGTTGAGACTCTTATAACCTTTTTGACTAGATTATTATTGTAGTTTTCTAAACTGCCAAAATAGTATTCATAAAATAGAGGCCTCACTATGTGAATGCCCTTGCCTTTTAGCATTAAATACAGACTTCTCAGCTTGACATTTAAAGCTCTCATCTACCTTTCCAGACATTTCTTTTATACCTCTGTCACATCTACTTTCCAGCTAAACTGGGTTACTCTCCTAAATTCAACACTCAAGCTCCCATCACTGCCTTTCCACAATCTGTTCGCAGTGCCTGCAATGTTTTCCTTTCTCACTTTTGCCTTGGAGAATGCTTAATTTCCTTGATAGCTCAGCCAACCTGCTATTTCTTAAGCAATAATTTTTCTGGCCCTTGAGTTGTTGCTAGTGTTCTCTTCTTTAAATTTTCCTGTGTTCATGTCACATTCTCTATCAGTAGAGTGTAAGCTTCTTTATTTTTGAACACTTTTTTGATTCCTTCTGCTGCTTTCAGACATAATTTTGCTGCCATCACTCAGCAGCCTTTCCTTTGAGCTTCACTATATCCACATTTCTCATCCAATCTGTATTCTGTTAGCAGTTATCTATCAATCTCTTAAGTCATTCCTCCTCCTTCCTCAAGAGTTTAATACCTAGGTCATAATCTTCCTGTCTACCCTTAACTCCTTCCCTACTGGGGGACTTATACATCTTGATATTCCATTTGTCACCCAAATGTCCCAATTCCTTGTCCTCTTTAAATCATGTGAACTAATCTCAACTAAAACAAGTTATGCCCTTGATCTCACCATCACCCGGAAGTATTCTGTTTCCACAATCAAAAACTGAAATATTTTTAATCAAATTCATAACCCCTAATTTTCATTCTCTTCCTGTACATTCTCCCTCCTAAAACTATTTTATATCTTCACTATGACCCCCAATCTCACTATCATTCCTATTCTCACTTTCCCATCTTAATCTCCACCTTTTGTTAACCACTTTGTTTTTAAATCCCTGGCCCACTTATCCTATTGATGCTAAATAAAAGAGTTTATATTTTATCCTCCAGCAGTTAGGTGGCACAGTGGATAAAGTGCTGGGCCTGGAGTCATGAAAACTTATTTTCCTCAGTTCAAATCTGGCCTTCAGGCACTTACTGGCTATGTGTTTGCCTCAGTTTTCTCATTTTGAAATGAGCTGGAGAAGGAAATGGCCACTCTAGTATCTTTGCCAAAAAACCCATTAATGGGGTTACAAAGAGTCAGACATGACTGAAAATGACTGAACAACAACAAAAATATTTTATCCTAGAGGCAGTAGGGGGCCACTAGAGTTTTTTGAGTTGGGGGGTGACATGGTCAGATTTAACTTAAGGAAAATTACCTTGGCAACAGTGTGATTTTAGAATGTGCTTGGATACATGCCTAATCTTTTTCCTGAGCTCTAATCCTACATCATAAAACTGCTTGTTGAACATTTCAAACTGATATCTAGGTATCTTGTCCAAAACTGAACTCATTACTTTCCTCCAAACTCATCCTTCTTCTCTTCTGAATTTCTCTGTCTCTGCCAGGGTCACCACCATACTAATCCATCATTGTTACCCATGATTACTACTTTCACTCACCCCACACATCCAATCATTTCCAAATCCTGTAATTTTTTTCCCCCTTCCACAACATTGTCACCTGAACACTTCAGGTGTTCAACACTCTTGAATATGCCCCCTTCTTTGTACTCATAAAGTTACTGCCCTGGCGTAGGCCCATATCATTTCTCACATTATTATGGTAGCTCCTAATTAGTCTTTTTTTTTTTTTTTGGCTAGGCAGTGGGGTTAAGTGACTTGCCCAGGGTCATACAGCTAGTAAGTGTTATGTGTCTGAGGCCAGATTTGAACTCAGGTACTCCTGAATTCAGGGCCAGTACTCTATCCACTGCCACGTAGCTGCCCCTCCTGATTAGTCTTTGTGTTCATTCTTATAACCCCATGAGATAAGTAGAAGTATAAGTAATAATCTACAGCTGATGAAATATAGGCTCAGAGAGATTAAGGGACTTGTCCAAGGTTACACACCCCTAGTGACAGAAGCAGGATCCTAACCCAGGTATGTTACTCAGAGTTGGGTGTTCTTTTCATTGTTATCACCTGCCCTTGATTTCTCAGTCATGCATTTTTTAGGGGGTTAATGGTAGAATACAGGGTAAGTTACTTTGTGGTATAAAAACGTGTTGATGTTTTATTGGGGGTGGAGTGGGGAAAAATTCTAGATCTTGGAAATTTTCCAGCCTCCTTACCTGTTCCTATCTAGTTTCTTTAAAGATTCAGTTCAAGAATCATTTTCTACATAAGGCCTTTCTTGATTCTCCTAAAACCCTGCATCCTGTCCCCCTAGCTACTATTGGCTTACCCCTCACATGATTTGGTATTATTTCACACATGTATGTGTGTATGTATACACATACACACTGTCTAACATATATAACATACATGCCCACATGTATATGTGTTTATGTGTATGCATGTGTAAACATGCATATTGTCTTCCCTGGTGTAAACTCCTTGAGTGCAAAGGCTAGTTCATTTTTATCTTTGTGTCCCTTGTGCCATGTATATTCCTGGCACATTGTAGGCAATTAATGCTTCATATGATGATCTGTTTTGCATATTATAAGTGTATGTTTATTGAATTGATTTTATTTGACTTTTATGATCTTGTATATAATCCAGTCCAAGAAGCACTTGATGTCCAAAACACTGGGTTTTTCAAATATTAAATAATAGTGTTTGCATTCGTTAATTTTATAGTCTTAGTAGTATAAGAGAGATCAAAAATTGAATACATCTCAAGGAATGATTTTGATTGTTTTGCCAGTCATGAATTAGTTATATACAATGCTGAGAAAAATCTTAAGAAAAATTTTAAATCTATTTTATAATTTATTAAATATAACATTAAGTATGAAGGGTATGCTCTGCAACTTAGATCACAAAGAGGCTTGACGTTCTAGAAAAAAAAAAGAAATTTCCAAAGAACTTTACAAATTTTTAAATAATCCAGGAATATAATTTTAGTGGTTTCCAAGATAAATTTTGTACCTGGTCTTTAGAACTATATCCATGGCAGTAGTAACCTTACACTTTTGTTTTCTACTGTATTATAAATCTGTGTAACACTTATCTTTCTACAGTCCAACTGTGACAACCACTTTAAAGAATCTTGGAGCACTTTATAGACGTCAAGGCAAGTTTGAAGCTGCTGAAACATTAGAGGAGGCAGCCATGAGGTCTCGAAAACAGGTAAGTTTTGAACTCTCTTGTTTTTAGCTTTTATATTTATCAGAACTTTTAATTTAGGTGGGACATTGGGTAGAGCATTGGACAGGGAGACCAAAGTTCAAATCCAGCCTCAGACTAGCCAGGCAAGTTGCTTAATCTTTTTCTACCAAAGTTTCTTGATCTGTAAAATTGGGATAATAATAGCACCTACCTCACAGAGTCATTGTGAGGATCAAATGAAATAATATTTTTAAAGTGCTTGGCAGAACTAAATACTTATTATTATTATTAATAATTATTATTACCATATCTTCTGAAAGTTCCATTAAAAATTTATAAAAGTAAAATGTCAAATATTTGATTATTATTTTAGTTTTTATAATTAAATCATAGCATCATAGAATACTGGAACCCAAAAGGAATTTAGAGATTACCTGGTTCAGTACCTTAATGATACAAATGACGAAACTGAGGCCCATAGAGATAGAGTGACTTTGCTGAGGTCATGGGATCCTGCAGTACCACCAGTGCTTTTCCCCCTATAGCGTGTGTTCTCTATAATGTTATCTTGTCTCTGTTTAAATTGGAAGAATCAATAACTAAGATTTGTGACTCAACACCGACTTGTTAATTTATCTTCAAAAATCCTCATTTAATATTGAGGCTCATTTCTGGATTTTTCTGGCATTCAGTTCTCTTTCACACATACTTTTCTTGGGAGGAAGAAAGTTATTCGTTGAATTGGATGTGATGAAACATTTAGTTATAATTTAAATCCTTATTTTCTGTTTTTCCTGTAAATTGCCAGAGTTCTCCAGAATTTTCAGAATCCTTATAGAGAAAGTAATCTGAGATAAAATTGCCTAGAAGAAAGTGGGATGATTTATGCTACAAATAACATGAGATGTAGAAACAGTGCATTGGATCTGTAGTCTGTTTCTCTGCCTCTGTGTGACCTTGGACAAGTCATCTTAAACTTTGTCTGTACCCTTAATGAAATAGGAAAGTTGAATTGTATGACCCATGAGGTCCCATACATCTCTAATATTCAATGATGTGATCCCACAATTTATGAATTGTGTTATGATTATCAGTAACATCAACTATTAAATCTAGCATTCAATAAACATTTGTTATTAAGTGCCAGCCTATTGGAACAACCATTCCTGTGTTATATGTAAGATGAATCAGCAAAGTTTTAAAATAGATTGTGTCATATAATTTTTTATTGGGACCTTTTGTTTTTATATTACCTTTAATTCCTAATATGTTCCTTTTCCTTTAGTACGATATCTAGGGAAATAAGTAGTCATCATGTGGTTTGTCCTTTATAGCAAAGAAAAGCCAAAGTCATATTAAGATAGATAAACGTCATCTTTTATGTAAGCTCCTTTGAGTTAAATTCCATTTTAAACCTAAAACAGTACTATTATAGATATTAATAACTAAAATTCCATTAAAAATCATCACACGTAAAATGAACATTATTTAGCATAATACATTGCTTATGAAAATAAAAAAATTTAAAAATTGCTACAAACTGAAATGTAGATATGCATTTGTTTTAGCTTTATTTTACTAATACAGTTTCTTCTAGGAGATAATTCTCCTATATTTTAATATAAATTGAGATAGGTGTGACACACAAATGATAAAATTGATAGATGACATTTCAAAAGCCCTCAACAGATAAAATGCTTCATATTCATTCTCAGTTGAGCCTCATAACTCTGTGAGGTAAGTAGAAGTATCTATAGATAATGAAATAGAAGTTCAGAGAGATTAAGAGTCTTGTCCAAGGTTATATATCCCTAATAACAGAATAAGTATCCTAATCCAGGTATGTTACTTAGAGTCAGATGTTCTTTTCATTACACCACCTGCCCTTTGGTTTCACAGTCATGCTTTAACGTGGGGTTAATGGTGGAAAACTGAGTAACTTAACTGTGTGTTGTAAAAATATATTGATTTTTTTTTCCCCAGTAGAAGTTCTGGGTCTTGGAAATTTTCCAATACAGTTTTAGTGCTGAAATGTAAATCCCTTTTCCCCTTGCCTGGCTCATAGGGTCTTGACAATGTTCACAAACAGAGAGTAGCTGAAGTGCTAAATGACCCTGAGAGCATAGAAAAAAGAAGAAGCCGAGAAAGTCTCAATGTTGATGTGGTAAAGTACGAGAGTGGTCCTGATGGAGGGGAGGAAGTGAGTATGAGCGTAGAATGGAATGGGGTAAGTACAGTACACAGTTTACAAGTATAATGTAGGCAGTTAACTGCTGTAACAAAATCTGCTTTCTTTATAGCCCTCTTTCCATTAGCATTTTTTCATTAGTTTTTCTGGCTCATTTATTTTGGACTTTGTCATTGTTAGAATCAAGTGAGAATTAAGAAAACATAAGATCCTGCGTTTTGCTGATTACTTTTGTCATTTTTTCAATTTTTTACTCATTTAAACCAGTTTTAAATGATAATTTTGTTTTTAGGAATTGAAAGCTTGGGCTTAACTATGAGCATTTAAATGCTGATTGAGTGTCCTGGTTATTTAGAGCATAATACATGAAGTGTAGGTTCATTTTAGTATTAGGCTTAGTATGACAGTTGGCTAATTTGCTTCTATTTTACTCATTTTTATCACTAACTTCAGTGTCTTTATTTTCCTGCTTAGACTGCTATAGATTTTCTTCAGTTGAATCACTTTAAAGAAAAATCAATTTATAAATTAAAACTGTATAAATGACTGCTTTTTCTTTATACATGTTCTCAATATAAAAATATTGTTCATCTGTCTCCATTTGAGAGAGGAGTATATCCAGAATGGTGCATTTATATCTTATAAAGAGCTTTATTTACATTAACTAATTTAACCCATATGCCAATTCCTATAGGAAAAAAGTGTTGTGGTACCATTTTAATCCCCTTAATAAAGTTAGTTTTAGTTTTTGGCTGTTTTTTTTAGAAATGAGATTTCTTAAAACTCAGACTTGCATGTCAGAGATGAATCTTAAATACTAAATATGAAGGAACTATTGCCATACTTGGAACCTTTAATATCTGTGAAAAGCATTATATTACTTGAAATTTATTTTACCCTTTTATATCACAGGTCTGTATTCTAAAAGAAGCCAAATGTGGCTTTTCATATGCTTTTTACTTATTGAATGTTTATGATATGAGCAGTTTTAAGTTGTATCTAGCTGTTGAGTTTTATTTGCATCAGGTAGTTTTTCATTGTTGGATTTGGTAGAAGGTGTCCAGCTGTTTTCTTGATGAAGAGCTACATCGTTAATGCCAGGAACTTTGCACATTCAAGAAAAGGATGCAGTTTAGTTAGCTGCAGTTCCTTAAAGAAGTTTTTACCACATTGGTTTAGTGATGAGTTCTTATTATCTAACCATTTTTTCCTTTTGATTTAGCATGTTAGCTTGTTCACTACATGAATCTGTTTCTTTATCAGGATCTCATACATCTATTGCAGTTATGCTGCAGAAATTGCAGGGTGAATCTTCTCATCATTGTCTTAAGCTGGCATTTCCTTGGCATTGGTTTTCTCAGTGCCAAGACAATCAATCAGCATCCATTTTGATACCCTCACATCTGTCATATAGTGGCCCCAAAAGAAAACATTTGAGTAGTTCATAATATTGTCCACTTGATATTGGAACTGTGTACTGTACTCTTCCCTATAATATGCTGTTTTGTTTGCATGCCTTTATATGCTAGGAGTAAATAAAATTATTTTTACTTATTAAAAGTAAGTGTGTAGATTTTGATATTCTTTAACAGAAGTTCTTGAAGAACTCTTGAGACGGTATTTCTAGGTCAATATATAGTTGCCTGAAAATAGCTGATAAAGTCATTGATAACTTTAAGACTGGAAATTACTTAACTTAGGAGAGTTGGTTTCATTATTTCTGTCAGTAGTTATTATTATCACTGTTTTGCCTTATTATGGGTTCTTTCCTCTCTGAAGGAGTGGGCTATATCTTGCTTGTCAGTTGAAATTTCAGGCTGGAATTATACATAATATTGTTATATTTATAATTTTCAAATGAGTAAAGAGTGGTTATCTTCTTAAATGGATTCCTATTTTCTTCCTATTTTTCTCAAACTTTTTCATTCTACAACTTAGGACCATTGGCACTGCAATATTTGGGTGTTGTTTTGTCCTCCCTACAAAGTCCTCTTATCAGAAACTAACACAGTGTTTTTCTTTTCAGAAGCAATATTCTTGACCCCTTAATCTCTAAGTGGACCAACAGCTTTGATAAAGTACATTCCAGGTGCATTGTACTTTGGGTTAATTCACTTTTAGCTGCAGTAAATACCATCATGTTAATTTAAGATTACACAATATAAACTTGATATTGTCCACTTGGTTTTTTTGGCAACATGGCTTCTCTACCAATAAAGGTGATGAGTGATGGGATGTGAGACTAGAAGGAAGATCTATGGTAGGAAATAATGGGATATTTTATGTTTTAATAATATATACAAATTTTTGGCCTCACATATGCTGTTATTCAATGCAAACATATGGCTTATGTATGGTCAAAGAATGGAAATTGCAACATAAAGTTAATATACGTATGCGAATACTCTTTGATTCCACCTACTTACAACGAGATGAATTATATGTTCTTCAAAAATGTGAGGAAATATCACTGAGCAAATTCTGAGATTTAAACCCAAATTTTTAACATTGGAATAATAGTTCCTTTGTTTAAGAAGGTACATATCTCATTCTGTGAGATTTTAAGTAAATCTCATATTGAGTTGAAAAAAAATGATTTTTGAACTTGAGATTATAATTGCTTGATTAAAATGTAACTTGCTTGAAAGAAGTCCTGAAAAACAGTCACTTAAAAAGACAAGTTTATTTTGCTTTTTCAGTGTCCCATGTTTCTGAACCTGTCAGAGCAGTATGTAAATAAATATTCTTGGTTAGAGTTACTTTTAAATTCTGAATGCAAAGTTGGACTTATTTCTTAAGAGTAGTCCTGTGTTTCACATAAAATGTGAATGTGCATGCATATCACAGACCTTTATGTGTACTACTAATATGGGGTAGTCCTTTTGGGTGGTTTATGAATACAATTTAGTGATCATGCTTAAAAACCTATTCTTCCAGACTTGCCTTATCATGAACGTTAGATAAATAATTACAATTGAACATATTGAATTCTACATAAAATATTCTACATAAACTAGAAGTGTTATCTTTCATCTAGTTATCAGAATTGGAAGTTAAGGGTCCATGATTTCCTATTTCCATTTCCTTGTGTAATTATCTCCTTTGGGACGAGGGGAGGGCAGAGCAGTTAAAAATAAAATTTAGTATCATCTATGTCCTAATACCCAATGGATTTGGAGCTTGTTTCTGACTAAAGCATTCTGGTTAATAGAGTTTCCTGCTTTTATTAATTTTCAAGATAGATGAAAGACAACATTTCTAGAGTTTTTATTCAGAATTCAAGGTATTTAGTTGTAATTATTTATCTAGTGTTTATTGACAATGACCTACTTAACATCAAACACATGGAACAACTTTATAAATATATATGTACATATAGAACATTTTTATATAGGTTTTATACACACATATATTGTAATAATTGTTCATATTCCTGTAGTGTTTTCAGTTTGGAAAGTACTTTTTGAAGCTCTTCAGGACATCAGTTATAATTATGTTGTAAATAAAGTGCCAGTAAATAGACATTTGCAGGCAATGAAATGCTAGATAAACTGACTTTGTTATAGGTTCCTTACCATTAGCCTTAGATGTAAAGCCCCAGATATAAGCAACAACAGCTTCATTAAAGTAGAGGGCTTGCTAGTTTGTGAGAAAATGATAAGAGTAGTATAAGGACACTTCAGCTAAGACTACTGAGAGCCTTTCAGGTTGGCACTCTTTAAACACCAAGTTCTTTTCTCCCAAATGGAGTGCTTTTTCAAATGAGGAAAACTCACTTCACGTACTCTGTTGAACGTCTAGTTCTGAAATGTTAGAAATAGTACTTCGAGGTTCCGCTCTTTTAAAAAGGTGACTGAAATAGAATTAATATTGTTTATATAATACTTTTAAATTATAGTAGAACTTTTTTCCTGAAAAACAGCAAGAGCTTTACTTATGTTTTTTGTCCTCCCAACATCCTCGGGGAGTTGGTAACAAGTTTTATTTTTCCATTTTAAAGATGAGGAAAATGAAGCTCGGGCTGGTTAAATGACTTGCTCAACGTTCCATGGTGAGTCAGAGCTAGCAAATGAATTCAGGTCTCTTGATTCTGTCTAGGGCTTTTAGCACTAGACTGTCTTGCTTCCATTATAGAGACCAATGACACACTTCTTCCTTTGGAAATTCTAATTTCGTAGCTCATTTTATCAGTTGTATGTTCATCTTTCAAAATGTGCCATAGATATGCAGATCAGTGGAACTTTGATTCCTAGAGATGTCATTTTGCCTGTTAGTTTCTTAAAGAATATAAATGCTTTTTGTTTACAGAAAAAAAAATTCTCCCTTGTTGTAATGAATAGGCTAAGAAAATATTTCTGACAAAAGTTAAAACTTAAATGAATGTACCTTTCATATTTTTAGATTTTTATTTTTTTAAATCATAGGGTTTTTTCATTCCAGAGTCACTCTTAAGTATGATCATTTGCAAAATTTTATTTTAAGAAAATTTTCTAACATACACCAGAATGGTTCGCTTTCATTTTGATGTTAGGAGTTAACTAAGTAAAACTATAAACAATAGCATGCCTAGAATATCTATTTAATTTTAAAACGTCAGCAATGAGCGAAAGTAATTGCAAGTACCTTTTCTTTTTTAAAAAAGATTTAAAGATTGTGTGACCTAGAAATACTGTAAACAAAGCTATTTTAAGTATAAAACTATTGAGAACATTTTTGAAACAGTTTCATTCAGATTTTCTTTCTTCATTTCTATCTAACAGGCCTAGATGCCTTTTGTGATTCTTATACTGTCTCCTGCATGACGGGCCGTGCTCCATCGTCAAGCTTTAACTTCTCTCTCCAGTACTGACTGCTGTGCTTTTAGCAAACCTCTATGATTCTTGTCAGAGCTACACTTCTGTGTATACTGGCCCTTCCTTTCAGTGCTGTTGTTCTCTTTGGAGGTGTATTTCTGTACATGTGTAGCTTTGCCAGATAGGTATTTAGTACTGCAAAATGTGTTAATAAAACCATTTACTGTGTAACATGAGTTAAAAAAAAAAGTAAGAATGACTAGCTGTTCACTATGAAAAAAAGTTAGTTAAAAGTATCACACAAAGTATTATTCAAATGGCATGATGGTGACCTTTTGAGAATTACTAAACTGTAAAAGTAAGGCATGTGCTCCAAGTGCTTTAAATTGTGTTTAGAGACCTGTAACTTGGTTAACATCAATATGGAACTCTGGATGTCTTCACTTATGATTATTCTAAAGTAGCATTGCTGTTTAGTCTTTGTGTGAAATTTTGGCAAATATGCTTTTCTCTACTAATCTTTAAGTGTTCAGTGATTTGTGTATCTTTGTCTTTCTAACTTCTAATAAACTCACTCCAACTGACCTGCATCTTGGTGTCTGTCTGCTTCATAGTACTCTTTCTTCCTTTCATGCAAAACTGTATGGCTTCTAGAAGTAGCAGATAGTTACTGCTAAAAACGTACTAAATGATTGATTTTGTGAATAAAAATCAAGTCTTTGCTATATGGTTTTGATTTCCATGCCCAAATGATAGAAGATTATGCAAGTTTAATTATGCAAAAATGTCTAAATTGTGATTTCTAAAGCTGAATTCAGATTTTATCTTTCCATTTATGTGAAAGTTAACTTACTGTTCATATCTACAATGAGTTTTTTTGGGGACAACAACATTCATTATCTATATTTAACAAAATCATTCTATAAGGTTCATTAAATGAATAGTATACATGAGATGAGTATTGTATTTGGATTAAAGTATTAGAAGTAATTTGATTATACCAGGCCTAAATGTCTTAGGTGTTACATCGTTTGTTGGACCTAGTGACTACATTTTAATTAAAGTGGAATTTTGTTTTGATGATATTCCTAGAAGCTTCCTTATTTCTTTTAAAATTTTTATGTATTGTCCTTTCTGTCTTAATACAGAAATGTCCTTAATTTTTCTCTTTAGGTGTCATCATTTTGGTGTGAATGAGCCTTTTTATGTTACATTCTTTTCAGGATCATGGATTACCTTTAATCACTTAAATAATTAGATTTGCCAGGCATTAAAGTCTATTTGCAAATGAAGTAAATCATTTAGAAAACTGATAGGAAATAGTGACTATTACTAGCAACAACTGAGAACAGCTTAATAGTAGAGTGAAATATTTTCATTCAGCTTTAGCTGTGGGAGGCTTGGAAGGGTGAAACCCTTGGCAGCTTCACATTTGTTCACATCTTTTTCAGGATGGCACTGGATCTTTAAAGCGCAGTGGTTCCTTTAGCAAACTTCGGGCTTCAATTAGACGCAGCAGTGAGAAGCTGGTTAGAAAGCTGAAGGGAGGAAGTTCACGAGACAGTGAACCAAAGAATCCTGGGTAATTATATTTTCCTAGCTATACTGATACTTGCCCCCCTTTATCAAGCATCTTGTAAACTAAACAATGGCCAGGGTAATTTTTGGGGTAGCTTTCTCACAAACAAGCCTCTGAAAAACATTTCATTTTAATTGTGTTTATTAATCAAAAGGTTTTAATATCACCTATCCATGTGTAGACTGAGAAATATTAAACTGATATCCTACTTTAAAAGTTGCCTATTTAGGTGGTTAGAGAGAATAAGTCTTTGGAAGGCTGTTATAGAAAAATAAGTTTTGGCCGTATAAGTTAAATATTTATAGTAATATTAATGCCCTTTAACTTTAAACAATGAAATGTCAGTTTCAGATTAGGATACTTGAACTATTAGTTTTTTTTTTTTAAGAAACCCATTTCATTATGTAGCACATAGCAGATAATTGAACTTCCACTTTAAAAAGCAATAGCACACACAAAATGGAGTCAGAAAGGAAGGGGGTGTGGTGGTAGAGAAGGTTTAAGCTTTGATTGCAGGGTGGCATGCTGGAAAATTTTTCTCAGGGATTCTAAAACCCACAGGTATTTGTTTCAAGTGCATAACTAATGTTAATCCAGAGAAACATGCATTTCAGAGGTTACAACTTAGTTTGGAGGACAAAGAGATCAAATGTTTTTAAGTGACAAAATTCAGTTTCATCCACTGGTAGTCTTAACATACCACACTTTTGCTGGTAAATAAATTTGTTGTTTCTATTCAGTGTCCCCAAAGTTGGCATCCTTTTACTTATCTGCCTTGTAATTGGTAAATTGCCATATGACTAGTATAATTTACCATGTTTTCCAAAGGATTTTTCATGGAAGCTCTATTTACCATATTGTTTTATTGTTTGTAATTATAGTTTTAGCATCTTCTATGATGATTGATTTGATATTTTTATATTATTTTCTATGGAGATATATTTAGAAAGTGAATTCTACTTATCTTAAGCTAAGAGGTCATTTGGATAAGCACAGATCAATAAAGGATCATTATTATAATTCACCCTGATGGATTAATTTGCTGCTTAGCCAATTAAAAAAAATTTCAACCTGATTTTTCTTACTTATTGGCATGCCATTCTAAACTTTCAGAAGTGAATTTGAAGTGAATATAAAGCTAATCTGCTAGTTTCCATTCTGTCAGTATGGAAGACTTAGTGTAAATTTAGCTTGCGTTTTAGGTTCCATTTCTGAGGATGTATTTATCTAAATAATTAGGTTTTCATGTGATAGCTGTTGAGATATCTAGAATATTAAACAAGCACGACAGCTTGCTTTTATGTGCCTTAATTGGTTTGGGTGTACTCTTACCTGGTTGGTTGGTAATGTACTCTGGAGAGCATGATTTCTTTGAGAAAAGAGATGATGCTGTCTGGGAAATTTGGTTTGTGAACCCTGTTTGTCTTTAGAATACTTTCTATTCAGGGGTCACACTTCAGGTGGCTCCTAAAACTTGTGTATTGGCATATTTTTTCTTGCTCTATTCCCTCACCAGAAAAGTGTATAGATGGTGCAGTGGTAAGTGCTTTAATTCTAAGTAGCTGTTCATTCTGCTTTGCAGAGATATCCAAAGCATTCTTTAGACATCATGGTATGAGCTCTATAGATATCTATAGGCAGAAAGAGAAGAAATTAAAAGAATTTGTGTTTTCAAAGTTTTCTACTTTTTGGTGAAGGCCACATTTGGATTTGTGACTCTTCCTCTCCAATTTTGCATGTACTCCTACTAAATTTGGCATCTATGCCATAAGGTTATAAGCTAAAGAAACTGATGTTTAAAATCACATTGACTTACTTTATTTCTAAATGCCTACAAACATTTAGGACTCAAGTGACATTTTAACATCAACCTTTTTGTAAATGATGATTATCCTGAAACTGATGAAGATGTTTCCTAGTGAATTGTAAAGAGTGCTAAAACATTTTATCTTCCAGTGGTCAGAGAACATGAGTACTTCTTTTTCTGCCCTGTTTTTTAGGCAAAGCTACTGACTTATTTCAGTTTTGTACATGTTTTGAAGTTTAAAAAAAAAACAAATTGCTGAATCTGGCACTAAATGTTTACTGTACAGTTTTTTGTCTTATTCTTCAAAAATGCCTGATTTCCTAGGTGTGGTTATTTCCTCAATGAATATAGATCAGAGTCCTCTAAGATTTGGTAGATAATCTTTGATAACAACTGTAGCTAAAAAAAACCCCATCACTCTAATCTGTTGAGAGCTTCTCAGAATAACTAGGTTGGTTCTCAGCTGTTTGTCACAGCTTGTATGCCTTTCCAGTTTGAGGTCATCTGCTGAAGTTTGTGCTACCTTCCGTGACATGATGAGGTGTCAGAGTAGTAAATTAATGGAAATTCTCATGTTAAATGGTTTTTAACAAATTTCATATTTAGAAGCCAGTTTTGCATACTATATGTTATTATATGCTTATTACACCCATAATTAACAGAAATATGTGTATGATATCTGTAGGTTAATTCCCCTACCTATATACCGTTGTAATTTGGTGTGCAGTGTAGAAACTTTATAAACCTGACTGTATACACAATCTGTAGATAATATTTACATGCTAACATTATTATAAAAATGGCCTTGGGATTTTTTTTTACTGCTTTAATAGCTTCGTATAGAAGTCCTTGAAAGAATAACATGGTGAATTTTTTTTTAAACTTAAACTTTTTATTTTTGATTTGTAGACATTTTAGGCTTTGAACGATTAAATCTGAATAGTGTTTACTGGCACACCCAATACTCAAAATGCTGTCAGAAAGGACATCAGTCCCCAAGAATATAATTTTTTTCATTTTAAAATTATTTGATAGATCCTGTACGTTCTGTACTGTTTCCCTAATTTTTTATCTTTGTGTTAACTAATTGTTTAAAAGAATAGCTTCAGTTTGATTAGGAAGAGTTCTACAACCCATGTAGAAGAGAATGTATGAACTTTGAGTCACATATAATTAGACCTGGAAGGCATTTTAGAGATTATTGAGTCTGTTCTTTATAGATAAAACAGCTGAGCTCCAGATTGGGAAGGGAACTGGTTCGTAGTTACACAGATTATTCTTTTTTTTTTTTTTTAAAGGCAATTGGGGTTAAGTGACTTGCCCAGAGTCACACAGCTAGTAAGTGTTATGTGTTTCAGGCCTAATTTGAACTCAGGTCTTCCTGACTCCAGGGCCAGTGCTTTATCCACTGCACCACCTAGCTGCCCCAAATTATGCTTTTTCATACTGCTACCTTTCCTAAGAACCATTTGGCTCTTTGACATAGTTTTGAGGTAAATTGATGTCATCTACTTCTGATAGGGGTGTATTTGTACCTTCTGCTTCAAAAACATTAGGAAGGCAAAGACTGTTTGTAACTTTAAATATCTTGTGCTGAATCTTTGTTTTACCTTGATTTTGGGGTTTTTTCCCTTTCTTTGTTTTTGTTGGGGGGAGTTATCTTTTGTTTATGCGGGGTGGATTTTGGGTATATTTATTCTCTTTATATTAATGAACTTTCTTATGGCTTTTGAATGTATACTTTTAAAAAATAACACTGAGAGCATTGTCATTGTGCTTGCTGTTCTGGTTGTTGCTAACCTTCCAAAATGTGTGTCCCTGTCTTAAAGCTACTGACTTAAACTAATTTAATTTAAAATAATATTACTGATAGCTTATATTATTATACCCCACATCCAGAATTTAAGGCCCCACTTTCAGACATTTAAGATCCTTAATATCAGCTATTTTAGACTTTAAATAGGTGGTGGATTCTTAGAAGTTAACAAACTAAATATAAGATACTGCTTTAAAAATATTAAAGATGTCTCCTAAAATACTATGTTTAAACAGATAATTGTTTATAATAATAATCTGATTATAAAACCATATACATTATTCTGTATTGGGGAGAATGTTAAAGTAGATAATATGATTTCAGAGTGATTTCTGATATATGTAACACATCATGTAGTATGACTTAAAAGTATTTTGAATAATGAGCTTTGAATTTGTAGCTAGAAAAATTTGCAATTGTTTTATTTTTCATAGCCACAGAAAAATAGACACTATATGAACTGTTCCAGTTTTCCTAAAACAGGGATAATTTATATAAAAATAGAATTGCTTATCCCACAAATGAAAATGAAATGAAGCAACAAAGTGGATGTTTTCATGAAAATCTTTTCAGAAACATTGAAAAAGCTTTCTTAGCTGAATTTGGAAAAAGTAAAGGTACTTTATAAACATGCCACAAAATAATATGGCTTAAAACATTTGCTAAACCTGATCAGCAAATATATTTTTGCAAAGTTATTACCAGTTGATCAGATATGGCCTACTTTTTAAAGTTAAGCTTATTTTGAAGGATGAATAAAACACCTAGTAAACAAATTTTATTAGGCCATAATACTAAGTGTAGATTTGCTTTCTGACTTAATGTAAATCCCAGTCTTCTGTCAGTTTTCAGCAGATCATTAAAAATAAATCATGCTCAAGTAATTGTGCCCCATATATTTTTTCCGAGACATCTTCTTTATTTCAAGTGATTCTAGTGACACTTAAAATTCTGTGCTGTAACCATGTTTTGCTTATGTTTGGAGAGCTTAGATTTTTTTCCATTGTTCTGATTGCTTTATCCTTGCATGTTTGATGTCCTGGTTGCAGCATGAAGCGTGCCAGTTCTCTGAATGTTCTTAATATGGGTGGCAAGGCTGCTGAAGATCACTTTCAAGTAAGGAGCCCTAAAATAATATTCTTAAATGTGTAAATACCATCAGCATGATCTGGTCCCCAAATATTTAACTAGACAGTTAATGAAAGGATGATCATACCTTTTAAATATTTCTATATTAGAATGCTTTAGAAATTAAAAAACCTTTAATTCTTAGGCAGATTAGCAAAATAGCTAATAAGGTTTGAGTTACATTTTTATTGCCTTTAAAAATCCTCACTACATTAATGAGAAAAATGTTAAAATTTTAAGTAATATAACTAAACTGTATCTTCCCTATTCATTATTTCATGTTAACTACATACATCTAAAAAGATTATTAAAATGTGTATTGTCCAGTTAATGTCTTAAAATGTCCAACATTTTACTAACATGGTAATCTTCAACTAACATTAGACTAATAATTGTTTTGAGAGTTAACACTGTTGAATTGCCTAAATCTCCCATAAATACTCTGCATTGTATTTTTCAGTTTCCTGCCTTAGTGTATGCACCATGTATCTTTTCCTGCACTTCCATTTCTTTGAAATATTTATTTTGTAGTAATTTGTAATTTTTATCATGATGTCATCCAAGCAGTAATACTGCTTTTAAAAGATACTATAGAATTGATACAGGCCTAGTTTCTGGTTTTCTGTGAGTGACTGGGAATCTTTGAATTAGGAATTACAGTCAGGTGCCTTAAGTTAAAGCCAGTCATGGTCCAAAAAATAATCATAGTTTGAATTTGTCTTTATTGTGACCTGGTGATATAGCTCATTTGATCACTGTCCTTACTGAACCACTGACTCTCTTCCTGGGAAAATAGGCTGCCCATACAAAAACTAAATGATAAAAATATCAAGTCCATTTTTTTCTTACTACTAAGGGCAATAAGCCCTATAAATACATTGGTGCGTTGGTTTTTTTTGTTCACCATAAGAGTGACAGCTCCCATTAACTTTAAAATATCCCCAAGGTGAACAAGTAAGTAACCAGTGAGAAGCACATTTCTTAACTGTAGGTCTTCACATTCGATTTAAAACCATAATTTTTGGATTTAGATCTTGAGAGTTGCTTAGAACACATTAAGAGCTTGCTTTAATAGAAGTAAAATAAAACAACCAGTTTTTGTTTTTCTAATAGTATCTGATGCCTCTTAACATGACATTAAGTCTAAATATATATATAGATTGAGCTTAAGGAGTATCAATTTTAGATTTATATTATTACTAGTAGTATTTTAAGATCACTTGAAGCATTTTATTTACTTGAATCATTTGATATTCTACATAAAATATAACTCTTTCCCATTTTATTTTCATGCAGGAACGAAATAATTGTCTGACAGATTCGAGAGTTCTGAGTGCCAGTCACACTGACTTAGCCCATTGAGGTGCTGGAACTGAAGTAGCTATTAACGGAGCACTGAGACTCTCAAAGCTTTGGTTCCTCGTCACTCTTGTTAGGAGCATATAGATTAGAGGTTCCCTTGCAAAAGACTCTGATTTTTTATATTTCCAAAAATATTACTTTTAAAATGTAGTGACTTTTTCCTTTTAAAGGGACTGTAGGGTCACTGCTATCTTCTGTGCTTATCCTGAGCTTTGTTACTAATAGATTTTGCTATCACAGTAGCCATGAGCTATAGAAACACTGATATTTCAAACATACCAACATAAGAAAGAACAGGATGGTCTCTAGATTCCCAGGGCTGAAAGTAGCCAATCAGGTTACTCATTAGCTCTTTACTATGGCATAGTATAGGCAGGTTCAGCTTGCTCCACTGCTGCTGGCAGCCCATTTAATGCCTTTATATTTATGCATGGCTCCTAGAATAGAGATTGAAACTGGGACACCTGTGTAACAAAGATAGGCTCATCCATGGAAGGAGAGTGAGGGGGCCAACAAGTGGTAAAGATGGTCTGTCACACTTCCCTTTAGTTAGTAATTGCACTAAATTATGCTGACTTTATTTCTGTTCCTTTTTTGGCCCAGTTCTTACTAGGGCCTATACAACTGGTCATAAGGGGAAATGAAACAATTGATTCTGTACCAGGCCATCATGCTTCACAGAACTAGAAGAGATATAGCCCTAGCCCCCAAATTGCCCTTTCCTGTGTCACAGTCGGTTGGTGCTTTTGGGGACCTCAGCAGCATATATTAACCCCAAGACAGGTTCTGGCTGGATGACAGGTGGTATTCTATTGTCTTCCTTTAGGCTTTACTGTAAACTAAAAAGCTATACCTTTGGAAAGAGGACCCACCTGGGTCACCTCATGACATCAGAGGGCTGATTTCAGGTCACTCTTGAGAAGTTCTGTAAGACTTGGAGAGTGTAATAAGCTACAAGCAGTCCTCAGTGATTGAGCATTGTGAAACGAAAAAGAAAGGAAGAATTTACTTATTGATAAAATCATAAAGTTAGAATATATACTTCGTGTTACAGAAATACAAATCTACAACTTTTTGCTTGTGAGCAGGCTAAAAAGAAAAGATTATGACCTTCCTTGTTGTGAAATGCAGATGAGCAAACATTTTGATTTTATTTTAATGCAGTAATGAAGCCATCTGTATGTGAAGTGCACTTAAGTGTTTCCTATAAAATACTTGCCTAGTAGTATCTCTATAGAGAACTTGTTTGAAGTTGGCTACATAGCTAATGTCTAATGTAGACATTTTACACATAGTGATAATGCTGCTAATTTTAGTTTCCCATACTGTATCATATTTTATTGGTGAATTTAAGAGAACAAACTCTTTGGGATTATTTTATAGCAATTTTATTTTTAAAGTTAATTTGTTAAAAATAACTTTGTATAGTTATTAATATATTGTAATAGATTGCAAAGATTATGTATCTGTATGAGGTGTGTATGCACTTTTTTCAGTTATGTGCATAGACTTTCAATATCAGAATGACCATTGTACTTGCCTTCTGTAGAAGATTTCCTGTTCCATGACCATTAGCATTATTATGTGATTCCTACTTTTCCAGTGTACTATCCAGTCTTCTCTTTCCTCCTTTCCCTGACGATGAGACCATGCTGCTTCACATAGCCTCCAAATTGCCCTTCTCGATAGCATTTAAGCTTGAGGGTTCCCATAGAACTGGAACATATGTTTTGCATTTATTTTGCCTTTAAAATTTTATAGAAATAGATGTACTTTAGATATACTTAGAAATTTTCTATCAGGTTGTAAGAAGATAGCAGAAATAGCCAGGGACAGCTGTTTTGATTTCATGGCTCTATAAATCCCATTTTTTAGTGGACTAGGTGTGCTGTATTTAAATTTGATATATAAAATACAGGATTCATTACACATGAGAAGGTGATGGGCAGCACGGTACCGTGGATAGAGAGCTAGTCTTGGAATTAGGAAGACCTGGGTTCAAGTTTTGTCTCTGATACATAACTGATTGTTTGACCCTGGGCATATTATTTATCCTTTAAGTGCCCCAACCATAAAGTGCAATGAGGGGGGCAATTTGTATTGCTAGAACAAGTTCCAGAGGTCTTTTCCAGGAGTTTCCTAAATTGATAAAATCACAAGTATAGTTTTAAAAAAAAATGAAAATAGGCTGTATTGCTTACTCTTTCCTTACTTTGTTCTCTCCAGTCACATCTTAAAATTCTTTCCTTTCCCTAATCAAAATTGATTGCATTATGCACAAAATGTAAACAACAACTTAATGACTGATGGTCCAGTTCACTCTAGGATAACAAAACCAGGGCACAGTTAGGGTGGATGGAAACAAAGACTTGAAAGTAGAATTTCATGTTATTAGATCTACTTTTACATCTTTGTTAAAGAATCCAATTTAGGTTAGTCTCAGTTCTCTGCAGATATATAGTTGTGATTTTTCATCTTTCAATAACTTACTGATTGGAAATCATACAAGTGGATTTCATAACATCTGAGACCATAAGAATTAGAAAAACATCTCTAGTGAAACCAGGCTGAAAATTAATTTCCCTTTTGAGAACTTTGATTGCATTCTTCTTGGCTACATTTCAAGACGACAGTTTAACATGGAAAATTCTGCTTGAAATCCTGATTCTTAGATTTTCATAACGATGCAAACAAATCTACCAGTGTGTTGCTATTTTAATTGGATTTCTGAAATGAAATTGCTTTTTTTTTAAATCCAAGTAGATGTCTTTTTATATTCACATTCTTATATTCACATCCATTTGTTTCTTGCTAATGTTTAGCCAAGAAAGATTTTACCATCAGCATTGGAGAGAAACGAATCCTGCACACATTTCTATGTTTTTGCACGTAAGTTTCTTAAGTGCAACTTGTGCAAGAATTATGACGATTAGTGAGCACCAAAAGTTAATGAGAAATATCAGAGGTGAAGTTACTATGGACCAGTACTATGCTGTCATACCTAAAATTGTCCTCTAGTAAAATCTTCAGGAAAGAATCTATTTGCTTCAGGGATGACTAACTCCCTGGGAACATATTACAGTTTTTAATGAGATAATAGGGCTGTAGGTAGACCATTTTCATATTGTGTGGTTTTTTACCATTCTCTGCCTCACTTTGAAAGGTCAGTGAAAAATCACAAAGTTATTTAAAGTTTATATGTAGGTTGATGAATATGGTGAATGTTAATGGGTTTACATAGCCTGCTAAACAGTAGGTTTCTAACATTTGGTTATCTGAGTTTCTGTTGTTGAAAATGCATGTTAGCACTTGTTCTTATGTATGTTTACAGTATGTGATAGGGTCACATGTACAGCTTGGGTATGTTTTTTGGTAACTCTGGTCAGAGTGCTGCTGAAAAGTATCATGTTTTAAATGTAATTGTTAGGTTTATTCATAGAAGAGAGCACAGATATGTTGTGTTAGGAACTCATGATTGACTGTCTGAAATGATGTAGAATAGATTTTTGAAGGTTTCTAACTCCTGTAGAGATTGCTTTGTTAGACATGTACCTACTTAGGAAACTAATTAATGAGATGACCAAGTCTCTGCACTTAATATTTTCAAGAAGTTTACACCGATTAGATTTAAAAAAAATAATAATCATGTAGGGCTCTCCCCTATGGTTATTTTTAACGTAAGGACACACAAGTCTCTTGGACTTGAACTGTATCACGAAGGTCATTTGGTCAGAGGAGAGTCTAATACCCAGACACTAACTGTTTAATTCCTCAGAATTTGAAGGGTGACTTAAGTATTTGATAAAGGGATAATGAAGATAAGCTAGAAATCACAAATCGCATCTGGAAAATAGACTTAAAAGGTAAGAATGGCTGACATGCTTGGATAGGATAAGAATTTTAGCATAGGTTCTTGTGTCTGAAGTCTAGAGTATGTCTGATGCCTTTCTAGGATGGCAGTGTTTTAAAATAGACTACTAAAGCTGAGGACCATATCTAGAGAGGACCATATCTAGAGTTGTTCTTTTGTAGCACTTTGGACTCTGATGCTCTTGTCACTTTTTTAGTTTCCTTTTTAAAGATACTAGCTTTGTCCAAAGAATAGTTTGACAAAGTAACATTTTATAAAATATTTACTGTGTATTTCATAAGTTTAAGAAATGTTTGCTTTCCTACTGATGAAAATGATGGGATAAAGTACATAGTGCTCAGTGTACTTTTGAGGGGAAACTGCACATCTAATACTTGCTCAGTGAAAGCACTGGTTGTTAGGACCAAAGCTCTAGAAACACATTTGTAGGCACCGTAGGGAGAAGTAGCAGAGGAAACACTGGGCTCTGGAGTCAGGAGAGTTGAGTGTGACTCCTCTTCAGGTGCTTTTTAGCTGTGGGTCCCTGGGCAAGTGATCCTTATCTGTAAAATGGGGACAATATTGCTACCACCTCACATGGCTGTTCTGGGGAAAGTGCTTCGCAAACCTTAGAATGCTATAGAGATGTGAGTTGTTACAGATACTAGAGGCAGTGAGTGAGGTGCGCATATATACCACCTACATCACAGCTTCTGTAGCCCACACTGCTTGATACAGGGCATGGAGGTAGTAGTAACAAGCATGTGGAGTGCCTGTCTTGGAGCTTTCTCTCTTAGAAAAGTATAATTTCATTTCTTAAGCTTGGTATAAAAGTTTTCACTCGATACCTATTTTATAACCTGTTTATTGATGGTAGTGTCAAAGCTGATGTTTACATTGATTCTGGGATTTACTGCATGTTTTCAGAAGTGTGTGTCATTTCTATTAAATTTATGTGCTGCATCTCAGTGCCTTGGTCTTATTTTTAAATGTGCTATTTATCTTACATAGAGGGCCTGTTGCCATTTTTCTCAAAAATTACAAAAACAAACTTATTCGCTACAAGTTAATTAAGTTCACTGTGCTTTTGCATGAGGGCTCATAAAACACACCAAGCACACTGACCTTATTTTCCTTAAATTTGCAGGCTGATATTTCTTTACGTCACAAGTTGTGAATTATAACTAGAGAATGTCTAACAGGGAATCCTGTAATTTTAATACTAAAAATCTTAGTGATTTGTCAGAATTGATTTAAACTTAGGTTCTTCTAGAAATATGAGGGGCCCAACGAAAAAGGCCAACAGTATTTGAAGATTTTACCCAAATATTTACTTTCTGAAAAGCTCTGTTTTCTTTCACTCCCCCCCGCGCCCCCCCCCCAAACCTGAATTGTTCCCTTGCATAGTAATACTCTTTTCAGGTATGTGAATGTGTAAATATTGTATAGTTAATTGTTTTCACATTAAGTGTTTAATGTTTTTCGTCAGAATCTCATTTCCTAGATCAGTAAACTACACCAGAATCAGTGTGACAGTCTTCTGTTACTGAGAGGCATTGTGGCAGAGAGTAAGAGTGTCTCATGTCATTGGAATGAGCAAAAACTAAGGTTCAGCTTTTATCCCCTGCATTTACTAGCTATATAACTGGGCAAGTCTCACTTGTTTATCTACATAAAGTTATAAGGATCAAATGAGATAATGTATGTTACATTATTGTAATTAAATGGACAGCAGCTATTAACATGCAAATGGGGGGAAGGCAGACTTTTAGGTGAGTTGTATGATTTTGCCCCACAATCAGTCACATCAGTTAGTGTCAGCTCTTACGGGAGCATAATACTCATAATTTTTAATTTCTTACTGAAAGATTTGTCTGCCAAATTGCCAACAGTTATAGTTTGTAAAAGTTTGTTGTTTGAGATGAATACCCACTGTTGACCTCTGGGTCCTAAGCTCAACTAACTGGTATTATTTCCCTTAAATTGTTGGCTTATACCATGTTTTCAAATCATAAAGTGAATTACAACTGTAGAATTTCTAGCTTAATGTATTCTTTTGTTTTTTAGGCAGTTGGGGTTAAGTGACTTGCCCCGGGTCACACAGTTAGTAATGTCAAGTGTTTGGTCTGAGGTTGGATTTGAACTCAGGTCCTCCTGACTTCAGGGTCAGTGCTCTATTCACTGTGCCATCTAGCTGCCCCATGTAATTTTATTAGTAAAAGTTTCAGAGACTAATTTGCCCAACTGATTTGGCTACTTGGGCCTAGGCAAGCTGTAGGACAAGAAAGAAGGAGATGGTAAAAAAAAAAAGCCCCTCCAAATCTGAATCTACTGTTTTTTATTTTTGTTTATTCTCCTTTCTATCAAGTACTTTTTGGTGTTTCACTGTTTCATTGGCTGATTGACTCATTTCATTTAAAAATCTTTTTGAGCCTTTCTTCAAAATCCTAGACAAAAAGAAGGAGCTTGATGTGGGTGGGAAGACAAGATGGAATGATCCTTTAAAATAAAACTAGGATAAATGTGTATATGGAAAATCATTTGCTTATTGGTGGCTCACCTTAATTAGAGTTAGGAATGGCACAGCTCTGTCTTATGTGATATTTAAGAATGAAAATAATCTTGGCCCATAAGCTTGGCTATAAGTAAGAGACAGGCTGAGCAATGTCTTTAGAGCAGAGGCTAGTTCAGAACTTCATAACCAAATTTTTGAGCACGATACTAAAAAGGAACCTATTGCAACCTTGGATTAGATTAAAGGTGAGTGCAGTATCCAAATGTGAACAAGTTCTAACACAGTATCTTTGAAGTGATTTGTTGCTGTAATAGAATTTTTTATAGCATATTCGTCTAACTTTTCGAGGGGGTAAAATGCTCATATTCTACCATTTCAAAAGCTGAACTTCTAGGGAAATGTTTCACCAAGAGCCCAAAGGAGGAACAGTTGCTGCCACCTAGGGATTCTCTGAAATGTCTTAGAGCCAGAGTTTCATGCCGATGTACAACTGTCTGCTTTCAATAACTTTGGCCAGAAGATGTCAGTTAGAATGGTAATTGTTCCAGCTGGTATAAACTTGATAGAACCGAAAGCATCAGTCACTGACTATATTTTTTAATCTTTTAATATTTAAAAAACTGACATATCTTTTGTTTTTATGTATATTTCTGACTATATTCCTTCTTGCTTCTTTATCCAGCAAGCTATCCCTGATGTTCCATGTCCATAGCACGCCCTCATGTCCCAGGGAATTATTTTCTTATCTCTTCTCTGGAGCAAGTTTGGTCATTTATAATATATTTTCATTTTCAGTGTTATTGTCATCATATGTATTGTTTTCCTGATTCAGCTTACTTCACTCTTTATTAGTTCATATACATCTTCTTATGGTCACTGAAACAAAAAGGGCAAAGGTTTTGGGAGAGGCTGATGGGGCAATTTTCATTTCCCATCAGTGGTAAGGGTTAATGTAGATACTAAAGAGTTTTTAGAGCACACCTCAACTTCAATTTAACAAACATTTTATTTATTTATTAATTATTAATTTTTAGTTTTTAACATTCACTTCCATAAGATTGAGTTCCAGATTTTCTCTCCATCTCTCCAAGACAGCATGCATTCTGAATACCCCTTCTGCTAATCTGCCCTCCCTTCTACACCCCTCCCCCCTTTTCTCTTATCCCCTTCCCCTTCTATTTTCCTGTTGGGCAATATAGATTTCTGTACCCCATTGCCTGTATATCTTATTTCCCAGTTGCATGTGAAAAACAATATTTAGCATTTGTTTTTAAAACTTTGGGTTCCAAATTTTCTCCCTCCCTACCTCCCTCTCCACCCACCCTCACTGAGAAGGCAAGCAACTCCATACAGGTTATACATGTATAGTCATGCAAAACACTTCCATAGTAGTCATGTTGTGGAAAACTAACTGTATGTCCTTTCATCCTATCCCCCCTCCCTCAGCCCCCTCCATTTATTCTATTCTCTCTTTTGACCCTGTCCATCCTCAGGAGTGTTTGCTTCTGATTACTCCCCTCCCCCAATCTGCCCTCCCTCTATCATCCCTTCCCCCCCCCCATTTTCCCGTAGGGTAATATAGCTTTCCACACACAATTGGGTATGTTATTCCTTCCTTAAGCCAAATCCAATGAGAATAAGATTGACTCATTCCCTCTCACCTTCCCCCACTTCCCCTCCACTGTAAAAGCCTTTTCTTGTCTGTTTTATGTGAGATAATTTGCCCCATTCTACATCTGTTTCTCCTTCTCCCAGTATAATCCTCTCACCCCTTAATTTTATTCTCCAGATACCACCCATTCATCTTCAACTCACCCTGTGCCCTCTATCTATCTATCTATCTATCTATCTATCTATCTATCTATCTATCTATCTGTCTGTCTGTCTGTCTGTCTGTCTGTCTGTCTGTCTGTCTGTCTATCTATCTGTACATATAATTTTAACAAAGATTTATTAAGCACCTACATCACAGGGGAAGTGATACAAAGATAAAAGAACTGAAGAGTGCCTGTCCTCAAGGAGCTTACATTTGAAGGGGTGGGGTGGGGGGAGAAACAGGGACAGGGATGGAACTTTAACATGTATAGGCAAATATATGGGGCCAAGGAAAAACACTAATCATGGAGGGGGGAGGGTCAGGAAAAGCCTTGCTTACAATGACACTTAACTGCAGCCTTGAAAGGAATCAGGAGTTCAATAAGGAGGAAGGAGAACATGAGGATAAGCCTGGGTCAAGGCACCAAAGCAGAAGAAATATTACAGGGAGGGCAGGGAAATAGCAATTGGGCTATTTTGGCTGGAATGTAGAATGGGGAATTAATGTGAAATCAATCTGGAAAGTTAAATGCTTTAAATGCCAAATAAATATTTTATCCTTAGAAGCAATTCAGAGCCACTAGAAAATTCTTTACCATTAAGGACTAGTTTAAAGCTATAGTGGCTAAAAGTCATAATTCTTGTTATGGGCATTTGACAAATTTCTTTCCTCAAATGCTGATAGCTTGCATCTCACATAGCCTCTGCCGCGATAGTTCTCAGCCTTCCAAAGGTTAGAGTCTTAATTTTAGTTTACAGCAAGGGTGTAGTCATGGAAAGAAGTAATTAGCTTATAAAAAAATTCACTAAAAATGAACAATTCAACCCTCTCTGGACCAACCCATGAAGCTAACAGAATGACATTAAACTATTCAGTGGTAACACTTTGTTTGAAAATAGGGCTCAGTAGTAATGTATACAGACACAGTACACAGACACATATTACAAACTACAGATTAATAAAGATTTTCGTGGAAGGTATCATTTCCCTTGTACTTCTAAATTGCTGTGATTGTAGTAATTGCCTTACTCTGCTCCTTTTACACCCTCTGCGTTGACCATGTAGTGACAATAAGACTGGGGCAGATGTGGTGCAAAAATAACACTTAGTGTCCTAACAACAGTTCCAGTAGCGGAGGCATCTGTATCTCTGGAAAACTCACAGGATGAGCGACTGACCATCAGCCTCATTAGTAGTTGATTAGACCAGGTTATTCCAAGTGCTGGAGAAACTCTTTCAAGTACACTAAAGAACAAGACAGGAACAGTTGGTCACTGCTGGGTTTATACACACATTGATCTTTTTAAAAACCATCAACACCCCCAATACATTTTCTGTCTGATTTCAGTTTCTCGTTTTTGGCTGAGTAATTCTGTCTAGTAGCTTCTCTTCAACTGGGCTAGCTCAGTTTAGCTATCACAAGTTTCCTACACCTAACCTTATGGAAGGATAAGAGCCCTTCACAAAAACACAGAAATATGACGAATCAAAATGGGTCTGATAGAGATGATACTTACTCCATATTAGTGCCAGCAAGCCCTCTCTCATCCACTGTATATGTTATCTGGAAAACACAAAATTGGGTTCCATCCTGGTAACTACTGTTTAAAAGGTGAAATGACTCTTTGACCGCCCTTGATGATGGTAGGGAGCACCCAAGCTGCTAATAGGTTTTTGAGGGACAGATAGTGATTTAGATATCATCTGCTGTGGGAGATAGCAGAATATTCCCCCCATTAAGACCCATCTGATAACACTCAGGGGCCAGACTGCAGTACTACCTACCACTGACCCTTTCTTTAAAAAACAAAAAGAACCACTTCCCTTTTCACAAATAATGAACATCTTTCATTGAGCGTATTTGTAGGTGAAGAAAGTTCATACCTGATTAATGCACAATACTGGGCTCTGGAATCCATTGCTTAATTGGTGCAACTTTGCTCCAAGACTCTGTAAATATTTGGCTTTTGTAATGGAATGCTGGATGCCAAATTCACAGCGAAACAGGGCAGCAATGGAGTCAATGATGATCAGGCGGACCATTCCTCGAGACAGCAAGATGGGAGCCCTTTTAGTAATGCACTCAAACAATGTCTCCTGGAACCAGAGTGCGAGAGTGGTGGGAACGTGCACTGTGACCCATAACCTTAGTTATACCCTAAGCTGATAACTAATATCATTTGACATCCTGTATTTACCATAGGTAGCTTCCTTCAGTAACTGAGGATGATATCGAACCTCTCTATTGTCTGATATTGAGGGAAAATACAATTTGGGATCATAGAAAGAGGCCCCACCTATCCAATTTTCTAATCTAGTGTGTAACAGTAGCCCACTGATGAGATACTTCCTTCCATTCCACTCTAGACAGTTGTCCCAGAATACTAAAAGTAAACACGTGGGAAAACAGGTTGGGAAAGTGGATCTGAACAAGTTCAAGCTGAAGTTGGAGTTTGCCTGTCTTTGGCCCACCTGTGAGCCTGAACCCTGTTTAGCTATACCAAAAAATCATTAACACATGCCTGAGAGGTCACTACAAACACAAAGGACTGGCCGCCACACAGAAAGAAGCACCCTTCAGATCACAATCCTGAGGCCTAATAGATTTTAAATCCTTAAGACATAAGGGGAAGAGAAAAATGATCTTCAGTTTTCTAGAACTACTCAAATATTTCCTTTCCCAACTACAGTCCTCCCATTTTTCTGCAGCAGCTGTGAGTTATGGTGTAGCAGGAGACCCGAAGAAATTCCTCAATGGTCCAGAGAAATATACTTTCCTTTGGTAGGCACTCCCCTGGACAGTCAGTGTTGGTTACTGACAGTCTGCACTGTAGGGCTGACAGATGAGTATGCTCTTTAATTCTCATATCCCCAACTGACAAGGACAAGACACAGACACCAAAGAAAAACAATGGGGAAGGGGGTGGGGAGGGGGGCTGGAATGTAAGTAAATGTGGTGGTAATGCCCATGAGGACACCAGGCGTCACGGATAGAGAGAAGGCCTTGAAGTTGGATGGGTCTCACTGTGTGATCCTTGGTAAGTAGCCACCTCTCAGTGCACCAGGCAACTCTCTCAAGCTGGGGTTCTTTGCCTTTTTTTTTACACTGCATCCCATGGGCAATCTGGTGAAGCCTATGAATCCCATCTCAAAACAACATTCTTAAATGCATAGAGGATTACAGAAGGAAACAACTTTACTGAAATACAGTTATCAAAATATTGTTTTCAAAATAAGTTTATAGACCCCAGGTTAAGAACCCCCTCTCTGAGGCTGGACAGTGCTGACCAGCTGATGTGCATTAGTTGAGGGTGTTGGGCTAGGAGCTTCCAGCTTGCTGATGGCATTAAAAACAAATCCCTACAGAAACATTTGCATAGCTTATGGTTTACACACATTATTTCACACAATCCAGAGAGGTTTAAGACTTGCCCAGGGTGATGGTGAGCAGTTAGGTGGGATTCTATTCTAGCCACAGTTCCTAAATCCTAAGAGGTTCCAATGAAGAAGAATGGTGATGAGACAAAGCCCAACCATGGATGTTGGCTGTGACCATCCCTGGGCTAAGCTTAGGGGAGGGCAGACTCAGGTAATGCAGGGCCCATTCCAGGAGAGATGCTTCTGCCTCCCTTGAAGCAGAATGACTCATCTGTTCAGCTAATTGTCCACCTGAATCTATGGGCTGTATTGTTTTGAAGGGCAGAATATGAATTCTGTACATACAAGGGAGGAGGCCTGGTATAGTGCACTGTGCCAGTTACTCAGCCTCGAGCTTTCTGTTCCATGCTTTTGTAGCAAGCTCAAGTATTGACAAATTATCTGTTGTGTCTGGGTTGATTGATAGCCCCATTAATTGAATTTAATTCTTTGTTTAAATCTCCAGGGTGTCTCCAATAGAACCTATTTTTGTCGAGAATGATGGCAGCAGTAGTGGTTTGGAAGACTCTTCCATTAATGTGAGTCGCCTCCCCTCCTGTCCCCTTTATTGTTTTGGAGGGGGTGCATGCGCACATATGCATGTACATGCTTATGAGAGTGGGGTGTGTTTAATGTTGCCAGAACTTTGAGCAAGTCTGCCCCGAGACCAGCCAAGCACACTACCCTCTAGGAGGAACTTACAGTCAAAGTCTCTGGACCTTACTCAGGGTCCCCCATTTGAACCTGTGTCTAAGAAATGAAAAACGGCAACTAGCATGGTAGCAGTAGCAAGAGCAGGCTAGGGCCCAGAGGACCAAGTCTTTTCAATCACTAAAGCATTTCTTAAGCACCTACTATGTGCCAGGGCAGGGGTGGGGAACGTGCAGCCTTGAGGACACGTGCCCTCTAGGTCCCTCAAGTGCAGTCCTTTGACTGAATCTAAACTTCACAGAACAAATCCCCTTAATGAAAGGATTTGTTCTGTAAAAGATGGACAGAGTCAAAAGTCTGTACCCAAGGACCTAGAAGCACTGTGCTAGGTGCTGGGGATATGAGGTCACAAGTGAAACAGTTTCTGACCTAACGGAGCTTACATCTTTTCAGGGGGAGACAGCATACACACAAAACAAAATAAATAGAAGTATGAGTTCTCTCAGTTTCCTTACATGTGTAAGGAAGATAAAAATACTAAGGATACTTGTACCTTGTTGTGAGGAACGTACTTTATGACTCCTGTTTCAAGATTTCAAAGGAAGGAAGAGAGCACAGGGAAGGTCTGCATGTACTGAGCCCAGAGTCTCTGGGGCAGATGCAATACCCTAGGTCTGAGACAGTGAGGCCCTTCGAGAATTTATGAGAGCTGGAATCAATAGAAGAGCCACCGCTGGGGTCCCTATTGTAGCAGGAAAGTGTGAGCCCAAGGACAAGACACAGAGACATCAAACTTGGTTATGATAAATGCGCTGGCGAGGAAGAGCAAATCATGTGAAACCTGAAAGGCCTCTGCTTACCCTAGTAAAACAAAAGCATCAGAGGTTTAGAGCTGGAGGAGACCTTCAAGGCCGTCCGCATACCCTCCTCACCCTGATCGTCTCTGCTGATGGCAGGGGAGCAAGCTAAAAACACATTTGAGGAGCAGCTATGATGTTTTTTTTTTTAGCAGCAAAAGGGGAAAGAAGTTGATCTGCCCATTCAGTATGAATAAATCTTTCCCCTGCTGGCACTCTTGCTGTACTCTATTTACTGTAGGTTTGTAAATCACAAAGCACTACAGCAACGTGCTTTACATCAACAACGTGTCGCTACAAACGTGTGCATGATCTCTCCGAGAAAGTGGAGTGCAGCCAATTTATAGTATAGAAAAAGGAATACTAAAGCTTCACTTTCAGTGTTTAGCTTCCAGTTTACCCAACTAATCCTTCTGTCAGAGCAGCCGACCAGGCACAGAACTGATCTGAGACTCACTCTTTCACAACCCTCTTCACCCCCTGGTGACACTACGGGCAGTGAATGTGAGGACAGGGAAAGCCGAGAGATCAGGACAATCCACAGACTGGATGCATGTCAAATATGAAATGATAGGTTCTTGGAGCATGTGACTTGTCAGTGGGGCACTTGGACCCTGTAGGCTTTGGTCCTGGCCACCCAAGGGCTGTGAGGACATCTCTGCTCTGTCAGCGCCTTGCTGTGGGGCCTTGGGAAACACTTCTTCATGGCTTTATTTCCTTAACTGGCCCTGCATCTCTCTGATAGCTTCCGAAGACCTTTTTCTCATAGGCATCTGAATGCGCTGCTGAAGGCCTGTAGGGGTGTACACGTTTTGGGGAATTTTCAAGAATCCTAGAGCTATACACACCCAGAACAGTGTCCATTTCCTTTGATGCTGTCTTCTCTTTCAGTGAAGAGTTTCCACAGTGACCTCCCTGTCAGAAGTGTCCACCAGGAGCACAGCTGCTGCCTTTGTAACCTCTCGCTGCTGGGAACACCGTCCCATGTGGAGCCAATAGGGCTATAGTCGAGGCTTGGAGCAACCACCTGGGAGCTGGTGGTTATTTAACAAGGTTTCATTATGGCTGTTCTTGCTGTGGAACTTGCTACTAATCTTTGTATGATTTGTCAGGATCACACAGGACCGTGACCTTTGTGAGTCTTTTTCGGTGACAGCACAAACCTGGGGAGTTGGTCAGTGTCCCTGAATGTCTTTTGTATATTTCAGCCTCTGCTCTTAAAGGAGAATGCTGCTGGTTTCCTCTTTTTCATCATTTATTCCCCCAACTCTCCCAGAGACTGTGGGGCTGACTGCAGGGTTGAAGTCTGTGGCTTTGCCATGTACTGAGTCTGCATTGGAAAGGTCTGTGCCTCTGTGTATAATATCCTGTTATGTTATTTCATTTGGAGCTATGTGTGTTAATGTATTTTACTGTAAATTTTTTAAAATTAAATTTTATTGCTCTATACCTTTTATTCTTTAAAGTTATCTTTATGTGGAAATACCTTTGAATTAGGTGAAATCTCTATAACAAGGACACCTTTTAAAATCCCTTATTCCATCCACCTGATGAGGAGACTCAAGAGATGAGAAGAAAATGTGCACATTAGACCCACCTTCTTTAGTACTTCCCATCTTGTCTCTAAAACGAGAGGGCTGGAGCAAATGTTCTCTCCATGTCTTTATTACTTTAACCAGCAGATCTGGTAAGTCTAGGATCCCAAGACTTGGCTCCACAGAACATCAGGGCTGGGACCTGGGAGACCTAAGTTTAGACCACTGTCTGCCTCCCTTTCAAGGCTCAGAGACAGGAAGGAATTCACTGCAGGCCAGTCTGCTTTCAACTGTTCAGTGAGCTAGGGCTACTCACCCTGTGCTGAAATCTGACTTCTCCAATGACAATTATTACCAAGCTTCCTTTTTTCACACTAAATTCTTTACTCGGCAAGTGATGAAATGTTAACTTCTAGGTACAGGTCATCATATAGTGGTAAGGAATAATACAATCTACAGCATTCACTTTAGGGAGTGGAATTTAAAACTGTATGTGTATACACACACACACACACACACACACACACAGAGTAACACCACAAACTCATCACATTGAGAGGGAGGTGTTGCATTGGGCAGAGCACTAGGTCTGTAATCAGGAAGACAAATTCAAATCCAGTCTCAGGTACTTACTAACTGGGTGACCCTGGACAAGTCACTCAAACTCTGCCTCAGTTTCCTCATCTGTAAAATGGGGGCAATAGTAGCCCCTACCTCCCAGGGTTGTGAGGAGCAAATGAAAGAGCTGTAAAGCACGTAGCACAGTGCCTAGCACAAAATAAGTGCTACACGGATGTTAGCCATTACCATTATGATTAAGATACTGAATCCAATTTAAAAAAAAACATTATAAAGCAGCCTGTTGTAAACCTTCAGATATCTTACTTAGCCCTGCCAGTTGACATATTCTTCCAATATATACTGCTTTCTGTTACAGCATCGTACAAGTAATTGTAAAGACTATTAAGGATCCTAGGTGATGAAGATAATTTAAGAAATAAGACCACCCTTTACAGCAGGGGTTGGCAAACTATGGCCAGAGGGCCAAATCTGGTATTCTCCCTGTTTTTGAACAGCTGCAAGCTAAGAATGGCTTTACATTTTTAAATATAATAAAACTTTACTTAAAAATGTAAAAACCAGGCCACATACAAAAGCAGGCAGTAGTTTGCTGTCCTTTGCTCTATTGTACAAAACTGATCACCCTAATTATCTTTGGTATGAAATTTCAATTCCCCCAGACTAATCAGAACCCCCCCCCATATATTGCTGGGGTGCAGGGCAGGGCCAGAATACTCACTATGTCTGCTGCATGCTCAATGAAGATAGAGTTGCCAAATTTAATTTTCTTGATGATCTCTCCTGGAACATCTGTCCTCAGCTCATGCTGTAGAGCTATAAGCTGCTGCAAACGCTTGTCTGGGAAAACATCCTCTGTACAAATGTAGATCACACCTAAAAAGCAAAAACAGGTTTCTTCTTTTAACTAGATAGAGTCCACAGTAATTAGCCTGTATCTCCCACCTGTCACTCTCAACACAGTTTTTGTATGTTTTCTATACTTTCATACATTCCTTGTCATCTTCCAGTGAAGCTCTCCTCTGATGCCTCATTCTGGAAAAGAAGTGACTGGATTTTTGAAGGTCGTTCCAGTAAAGTACAAGACTTTCTAAGTGGGAAAGCCTTCTTTAATTTTTTTTTTTTTAATTTTTAGGCAGTTGGGATTAAGTGACTTGCCCAGGGTCACACAGCTCGTCTCAAATGTTTGGTCTGAGGCTTGATTTCAACTCAGGTCCTCCTGACTCCAAGGCCAGTGCTCTACCACCGTGCCCCCTAGCTGCCCCTGAAAGCCTTCTTTACATCTGTTGTTCTAACCCACGTGTGGAGAGATTCATGATGTTTGGCCAACAAATGATGTCTTTTCTCACCAGCGTCCCTCTGGTGAACCTTTTACTGAAGGATTTAAAATCTGTGTTGTAGAGACAGCACCCACACCAATAAAATCAAAAGCTCTTTTTGAAATGCTTTGCTGATCACACTGGGAAGTGTAAAGGGGAGGAAGGCAGGTAAGCAGACAACCTTCCAAAACAAGCCTTCTTGCTCTAAAGGAACTCCTGCCACAGATTTGACCTGGACTCTGAAACTGGGTTCATTTGGGCTGAGCATAAAAGAAGCTGCCCCCATATTTGTATCTCCATCTCCTTACCAGTAATAAGTCTGTGGGGCCATTATGCTTGTCCTTGACCTGTTCATACATCCAGGAAGTCCAGTAAATAGAATTCACCCTCATCTGGGTCAGTGCCCAAAAACTGTGCCTGGGAATGAGGCTGTGGGTCCGGGACAGGAGGGTATTGACAGCAGCACGCCTGAATGGCAGACACAAGATCTGCGAGTATAACCGAGTCCAACAGGAATTCCAGGCTCATCAATGCCTATTTTGTGATTTTGGGCAAGTCACTTAACCTGTCTGGGCCTCAGTTTCCCCATCTCTTAAGTGAAGGTGCTTGACTAGAAGGTCTCTTTCAGCTATGGATCTATGATCTTATAAAAATGCACCGTTTTCCAAAACACTTTTCTTATCCATTGACTTGCTTAATGCTTACAGAAACTTCATGAAGTAGGCAAAGCAGGGATTATCATCGCTGTTTTATGGATGGAAAAACTAATGGTTAAGAACTCATCCAAGACTGAACAGGCAGAAATGGCAAAGAAAGGACTAGTACCTCAGTCTTTTTTTTCTTTTTTAAAGCAGTTGGGGTTAAGTGACTTGCCCAAGGTCACACAGCTAGTAAATGTCAAGTGTTTGGTCTGAGGCCACATTTGAACTCAGGTCCTCCTGACTTCAGGGCCAGTGCTCTATCCACTGTACCACATAGCTGCCCCAACCTCAATCTTTGTTACCCTCCAGTGTAAGTAACCTGTGGCCTTGCACTGTACTACAAGTTTGTGCAAGATATCATTACTATCTTCACCTACAGAATAACTAAATATAATAGCAAATAATACAAATGAGTACTTCAAGAGAAGTGTAATCCTAGATCTACCTGAGGTGTGAGGAGGAAAAGTCCATGGAATTAGGAGAGGCTTCTCGGAGGTGGCGGCATTGAAATTCTGGGCCTTCCCACAAAGCTGTCAGGCAAGAAAGAATGCATGGAGGGACCATGTCTTATATTGTTTGTCTTCTCCACAGGCCTTAGCAATGACCTGCCCTTATAGCCTAGCCTTACTTACACAGTGCTGACTTGTTGCAAAGTGAAGAGTCAGGGAACCGACTTTCAAGTACTGGCTCTTCTACTTCTGTAACTTTGGGCAGATTACTTCTTTGGGTTTCAAATTTCCTCATTCATAAAATGAGAGAGTTAGATTAGATGATCTTAAAGGACTGCTCTGTGTCTAAGATCCATGATTTAAGAGACATTAATAGACAAATTGGACCTCCGTTTTCTCCATACAGGTACTTAAGTCACCAATTTTATGAGTATCCATGTAAATTACTATTCCAACAAACTCATGGAGCTCGTCCTCTATCCTTGGACATAGCTTTGCTGTGCATCCTGGTATACGCTGGGTTGAATAGCGATCACAGAGGAAGTTAATGGAATGAACATCACTGGCCTTTTGTGCTGTCCCTGCAATCCTGACCATACTGAGTCCTGTGCTCTATTTCTAAAAGTAAGATTCCAAATGCAGCACCGACTAAACATTCTCCGATTTCATGTGTCTAACTATATATATTTCATGTGTGGGAACTCTAAAAGGTCAGCAATTTTTACTTCTCAAAATTACAGTTTTCAGGGGAAGTTTCTCACAATGCTCTAGGGTAAATTTTCTGCCTGTAGGTCTACCCTTTTTATGCTGGCCCCTTGCCAGAACAACTTGTCCTAATGTTTCTTTTTTTTTTTTAACATGAAATTGAATTTTTATTACTATAAGATGTAACTAATTTGAAAAAAATTAACTTGAAATAGAAATTATAGAAATAAAAAAGGTTCGTTGCTTCAGGTAAAGTACAACACTCCTCATGCTGTTTTCTGTTTCTACTTAATACATGCTGGTTACGGTGCAGTCATTACAGAACATTATTAACAAAATTTAGGATCTACAAAGTCTAAGCAGTTCTTAAAATTTTAATTTTTCATTTGGGGCTTATCTCTACTCCATTTTTCATTATATAACATCTACTTATTCCTTGAGGCATTTCAGTTAGGAAATTGTATTCCAATTAAAGAAGACTTAATTTGCTACATACGTACGAAATTCACACTCAAGGAAATAAAACATAAGAGAAGAGCCTTTAATACTTACCTGACATCCCACCTGTGCAGAAAGTCATGCCAAAACTTTCCATAACAAATTTCCAAGGATACTAAATTTGACAATCACTAACAGCCACTATCCATCCACCCTAAGACAAAAACCGTAAGTTCTTAAAAACAAGTAATTACCTTTACCAAGGGAGTCAATGAATGAATTGTAAAAAACTAAGGAACATGACTTAACAGCTTTGTCTTAGATGAATTTGTCCCCAAGAGAACATAATTTGTGATATGGTATTTAAAGTTTCCATGTAATAAATTGCATTTTGTAGCTTCATTTATTTTGGCTAGTAGCACTGTTCGAGGGCCTTTGCCCAGAAAATTATTTTTCTCTAAATATATTACATAAAGAAGTTCTCTGCGTGCACAAGAGTGGGTTTTATTATGTCTTGTGGCAACATTTTTCTGCAGAAAAGCATCTCCCAACTGTATAATACAAATTTGTGAGAAAATGATTGAGTGGACAGAAATTTCCCCAACATATAAGGAATGTATCTACTGGCTAAAATGAGGCTCATTTGTACTTCTGAATGATTGGTTATGAGGGCTTATTAAGAAATGTCACATATGTTGATTACTGAAATACTAAGATACAAAAAAAATACCCTTTTCTCCTTATGAATGAAATTCTTAGAATCCAGTTGGCTCAACAGGTTTTGAAACTGGCTTCATTTGGTGTAAGTATATCAATATTTTCGTAGTTATGAAGTTTATTGCCTAAGCTGGGATATGTCATCTCTGGTCCAAGAGCTAGGCCTGAGCTACTACTTAATTTATAATCTAACTCTTCATAAGTATTCTATAAATACAGATCTACGAAAGTAATATTTTAATACATGCAAGTACCAATGATAGTTACTTAGCAATAACAGTGGGTAGGAGGATGTTTGCATTGGCATGGCAACCTGTGAATAATTGTCATTTCTTGAGTATGGCTCTTGATTTTCAGGCCCGTGATAAAAAAAAAAAAAACAGAAGGAAAAGAAAAAGGGGGGAAAGGATTTCCAGCCCTGGTTTAAATATGAAACCTATTCAATATGTGCTCTTATGTTACATTTCATTCAATACAGTCACAATATCAATAATATTATAACTAGACAATTAGCTTAGAAATAGTGCTGGAGTTCTCAACTAATAAATATAACACTAACGAAACAAATTAAGAGTTCTCAAAGAACGCAGTATTCTTACACACAATTTTTTCCAGTGGGAATAAGGGAAGAAAGCAGAGTAAGAGAGGGCATCTTTACTCACTGATTTGCCCCAGGCAGTTTAACAATTTGTACTACACTATATAGACTGCAGCAAAGAAGATGACAGAAGTGTCTAAATGATGCTTCTCCCATCACTCAATAATAAATGCATTCTGCTAAGCCAGCAGAACCTTTTTTTGCGCTATGAGAAAAAGAAAAGTCCCTTTCTTCACTTCTCACAACTGTCAATAAAAACAAGTATACACAGTAAGGAAACTAGCAATTTAACTTCACACAAAGGAAACAAATTACAGGAGACAGACAACATTTTTCTACTATTTTACAATAAAATCCCTCCTGTTGTGAAAACTAGTATAGCAATTTTAATAAACTTCAAAGGTCATTATGATAAAATATAATCTAATATGTATGAGAACATTTTCATTATCTAGTCCTTGTAGTGAAATAATGGCAATTTAAAAGGGCCAAATGAATGGACAAGATATAATTTCACTTGTAACAACCAATATGCCAACATCAAGCTTCTAGGCTTTATTCAGTACTAGGACCAGTCTCCTTCTGCCCCAACCAAAAATCCTGCCCAATGTCTACCAAGAGTCACACGCAAAGAAAACCCTGACGAGCTACTGTGCCACATAAGCAGAGGAACAACGGATCAGCAGGAGCAGAGGAATGCTGAAGAGGACAGATAATGCATAGAGTCTGACTTAGAGATGCAGTACCAAACATCCAGTGCTTCACTGAGCACTCCTATGTCATTGTGAGGATGTTCATCCTGATGTTTCTTACCCCCCTCCCAATGCTCCCAGGAAGAGACAACATCTGGGAGGAGGGAGGAGATCATGACATCACAGAAATCATAGCTAGAAGAGTCTTTAGAGGCCAGAAAATAAAGGCCTTGTCTCAGGCCAGTAGACAAAACTAA